GCCACAGTAAAATGGAAGATGTTCAGCTCTTTATTTCCCACTCCCCACCTCCCATCACTATGCCTGTGTACGTTTCTCTCCCGCTTTCTTTCACCTGCTCCAGTCTGAAGCTGCCATGTCTGTGGCTGTATGGTTGTGTCTTCCACCCCAGCATCCAGAGAAATTCTTCTGACTTCCTGTACATTGGGTTTCCTTTTTATTCCATTCACTATCTTTCTCTTTCATGGTTTACTCCCTTATTTATTTATTTATTTTTTGACAGGCAGAGTTAGACAGTGAGAGAGAGAGAGAGAGAGAGAGAGAGAGAGAGAGAAAGGTCTTCCTTCTGTTGGTTCACCCTCCAAATGGCCACTATGGCCAGCGCGCTGCATTGATCCAAAGCTAGGAGCCAGGTGCTTCCTCCTGGTCTTCCATGTGGGTGCAGGGCCCAAGCACTTGGGCCATCCTCCACTGCCTTCCCAGGCCACAGCAGAGAGCTGGCCTGGAAGAGAAGCAACCAGAACAGAACTGGTGCCCCAACCAGGACTAGAACCTGGGGTGCCGGCACTGCAAGCGGAGGATTAGCCAAGTGAGCCACGGCGCCAGCCAGACTTCCTTATTTTGAAGGGCATATCCCAGTAGCTTCCTACGTGATGTTATGTGGGAAATCACTTCTTTTGTGGGCTCTTGACGGTGGGATGAATGTGCAGCTCTGGACTGGAAGTCATTTTCACTCACACTTGAAGGCAGAATTTCTTTTTTCTTATCTGAACACATGGCCCTATGTTTAAACTTCTGGAAAATGGCAGAATCCTCCTTGATGTCAAAGCTCTGACCTTTTGCAGTACAGGGCTTTGGTTTGGATATGGTTCTATCCATTGTGCTGGGAACTCTGTGGGCCCTTTAAATTTGTCAATTTCATCCTTTGATTGTTTATTCCTGGATTCCCTTCACTATTTCACTTCCTCTGTTCTCTGGCTGCTATGATTCCAAGGTTGGATTTTTCCAAACTGATTTCTTTTCTCCTAGTTTCCATTCGCTTATCCGTTCTTTTAAGTTTTTCAACTCTATCTTCTAGATCTTCTACTAATTTCTGATATGCAAAATTCTAAGTTTGTGAGTGCATTCTTGTCATTTATTTCTCCTACACATTGAATGCAATCGCTTATTTCATGCCTCCAAAGATACCCCTCTCCCAGGTTGTTTTATGCTATTTAACATTTGATCTCGTATTAGAGAATTTTCCCATTATGCTTGAATCGCTGTTTAAGAGAGAGGAAAAGGCTGTCTGATGCACACACAGGGGGCTTAGGGATCTCAACCTGATCATGCCAGGAATTCCTAAGGGATTCCTCCATGGGCACCGTAAGTCTTCTAGAGTATGTATTCCCCAGGTAAGATTTTTCTAGTTTCCTACCTGGAGGGGGAAAGACCTGGCTCTCATCCCTCTGGGCAGCTAGTAAGAAGTTATGGGGACATTTCGAAGAATTTGTGGAAAAATGTGAACTGTCAAATCCATTTCCCATGGACTTTTTGAAGTACCCTCATGTATGTACACACAGTCTTGTTGGACCTCTGGGCCCATCAGCGCGTGACATTCTGCAAACATGAAACTCCCTCATTGGGGCAGGCATTGGGGCACAGAGGGTGAGAGGGTGAGCACCTGCTTGGGACACCTGCATCCCATAGTAGATGCCGATGGTTCACGTTTTAGCTGCTCAGTGCTTGTGATCCTGCTCCCTGCTAATGCACTTGGGAGCCAGTAGCTGATGGCCCAAGTATCTGGGTTCCTGACATCCATGTGAGAGACCTGAATGGAGTTCCTGGCTTCTGACTTCAGCCTGGTCAAGTCTCAGCTTTTGCAGGCATTTGGGGAATAAACCAGCGAATGGAAAATATCTCTCTTCCTTAGTTATTTTGCTCTTCAAATAATTAAATCTTTTAAAAAAATAAAGAACCCCCTGTTTCACTTTGCCCAGAGAATAAACTGGACGAGGAAAGGGGTATTCACTTAGGGAACAGGGTTCTAGAGCAGAGATGCGGACAAGGGCCATTTGGATATTTATAACCTATGGCCCATACAAAATTACCAACTTCAAAATTCGCCTGCTGTAGATTTATTGAACTTCCAGTCCCACCTGCAGCTGCCTTGGCAGGGGCAGATCAACCGATTTTGTGGGTCTTGTTCGGCCAGCAGGCTGGACGTTCCTTACCTGTTTTAAAAGCTTCTCAAACGGCTACGAACCAATTCTACTTACTGTAGAATTTTCCCTCTGTGCACCCCTATCTCCCAGCAGCTATTGGTCATTTCTGAGCCTTTTACATCCTCCGTGTCAGCTGGCTCCGGATTTCCCATCACTGGCATGGCTCACTCCGTCACCGCATCTGCTTCCTAGCATCCAAAAGCATCCCATGTAAGTTCTCCAGCCATTGGATTTCCACTTAAAGCAAACAGCCCAGCTCCTCAGGGGAGCAGAGGTGGGGCGCTGTGGGGAGCCACCCTGGGGGCATCTGTTCAATCAGCAGCCATTCTGGAATCTGGACTTGTCATTTTTAACCTCCCTACATGGCAAAGGTCCAGTTGAAACCACTCATTGGAGAAGGTACCCTGCTGACCCTGGACAAAATGTGTATAATATGGACAAAAAGGCCAGAACTTGAGTCACGTGAACATTATGAAGAATAGTGGTGACAGCATGTGCCCATTCAAGAAGTCTGCACACTATCAACCCCGGGTCTATTGCTGTCTTCTCATAGGAAGATATTATTTGTTTGTCCACTGAAAATGATGACGCGGCTCTCCTCTCCTTGTTCCTTGTTTACTACTCAGCTTTTGGGTTAGAGATGCAGTGAGGTGCACAGATTTGTGCTCATGTGTGACAGGGGATCATTGATCCACTAAATGAAACGTAGGGATTTCAGCCTCCTTGTGTTGTAACCAAAGCAATGAAGACCACGCTGTTTGGTATGTGCTGCTGATACATATAACTGTGTATGGATTTTTAATATAAATATTTTATATCTCCTTCTAGGCATCTGGATTGCGTTAATAGCAAGCGAGCAGGCTGCATCATTGACAGGAGACAGGAAATGAAGATTCCCGAGAAGTGAGGGAACTTAGATAGCACCGGAGAGGGTGAGGCATCTCACTCCTAATAGAAAACCAATTTGGACGACACAGTGCTATCACCTTTGAAGTGCTTGGTAAACATTCAGCTTTCTTTTCACACCTTCCAAGGTTCAAAACACCACCCAGGTAGCTTGCTAGGTTTCTGTCATCGACTGACTGGGATTCAGGGAACCTGGGTTCTGGCCACAGCTTTTCCCAGGATGGGCTGTGTGACCTCGGGCACTGTACTCAGTCCCACCTGGATTCTCTACCTACAAAACAATAATCCTCACCATTCTTTACTCTTCCCACTGCTCACAAAGAATCAACAGCAATTATTCTTTAGGACCATTTAAATATATCTGAATACTAATACCAAGAATATTTGGTCTATGTACTGGAATTTGATCTAAATTCTCGTGAACTGTATGAAAATCTGAACGTGTCAATTTTATCCAGAAACACAGTAACTGAAAGTATCCTCAACATAAAGGTGCTTTTCTTTCATCTCAAATTGTTAGGCACTGCAAGAGTCCCTTAAAAACCTTTAGATTTGGGGGCTGGTGCTGTGGTGTAGTGGGTAAAGCCACCACCGCCTGCAGTGCCAGCATCCCATATGGGCGCTGGTTGTAGTCCCGGCTGCTCTCTTCTGATCCAGCTCTCTGCTATGGCCTGGGAGAGCTGTGGAAGATGGCCCAAGTCCTTGGGCCCCTGCACCCACGTGGGAGACCTGGAAAAAGCTCCTGGCTCCTCCTGGCTTTGGATTGGCACAGCTCCTGCCGTTGCAGCCAACTGGGGAGTGAACCAATGGATGGAGGACCTTTCTCTTTCTGTGTGTAACTCTCTCAAATAAATAAATAAAATCTTTTAAAAAAAGAAAACCCTTTAGATTTAAAACTTTGATGAGGAGGCCTGTGTGGTGAAGTATAGAATCTTGCAGCATTTTTAAGGTTGTAAATGATCAAGACCTCTGCAAGACAGCCTTTCACTCTTTGCCATTTTGTTTGGGCACCGTACTGCAGCATCTTTCCACCTAGTAGGGGGACCTGTCATTTTAAAGGCTTTCAAGACAGGGAAAGAACTCGTGGCAGTCCACTCAGAGTGACCGCCGTGCGTTCTGCGTGCTTTGGTTTATTGGGCCTCGCTCCAAACCCCGTTTTCTGATCACAACCTTGCTCCGGGCAAATTGTTTCCTTGGGAGGTCGCTGACCTCACCGCAAATGTGCAGAGGACAAAGTGAAATCAGACATGAATACACCCAATGCTTCCGCGAAGCTAAATCAGCTCAGTCATTTACGGGCCAGCATGGGGAGCGGAGGGCTGGGCCCTACAGTGTTCCTCTCGTATTCCGACCTGCCTCTCTCGGGAGCCAGCGTGGGCCGAGGAGGCCTGCGCATCCGCCCCACGGCTCACCGGCCCTGGAAGTCAACCAGACCACCTATCGGTCCCCGTCTACGCCTCCTGCATTCTGCACTTGCATTCGCTATGGGGCTCGCTCGCTCTCTCTCTCCTGCGGCACCATCAGGAACAGCAACGCGCGCGGCCCCTACAGCTGCGGCCGGGACTCCCGGCTCTGACCGCTGAGCCTACAGGTGGAAACCGCTTCCAGTCCGGCGGTAGCGCCCGGGCACGATGCGCACTGCCCGGGACGCGTCTACACCACCAAGAGCCTGGGAACCCGAGCGCCTGGCGAGGAACCCCGGGTCGGGGGTGGGGAGGGGGGACACCCCTGCAACACGCGCAGGCAACTGCCCGGGGAGGTGGGGCCGGCTCCTACGCGGTGCTCGGAGCCGGGCCCGGGCAGGGGCAGGGGCGGCGGCAGTGGGCCCGGCTCGTACACCGTAACGCTCCCGCCGCGGCCGCGCGGGTCTGCGACCCCCATGCCCTCCCTCCGCCCGCAGGGGCTCATTACCATCTTGCAGGATGAGCGTGGGCTGCACCGCCTGCACGCGGAACTGCCTGGCCCGCCAGCCGGGGCTGGGCGCCCGCACCACCTCGCTGTCGGAGAGCCAGGTCACCGTCTCAAAGTTGTCCCCGCGAGCCAGCGCCTCGGCCTCGGCGTGGTGCACCGCCACCCGGTCGAACTGGTAGAGGCCGCCCGAGTGGTCGAAGTGCACGTGGGTGGCCACGGCCAGCAGGGGCCGGCCGGCCGCCGCCGCCTCCTCCTCCTCCTCCCTGGCGCTGCGGTCCTGCAGGAGGCCGGAGGAGTACAGGTACTCGGGCAGGCTGCGCAGCCCCAGGCCCGTGTCGATCACCACGTCCTGCTCGGAGCCGCGCACCAGCCAGATGTTGGCGCGGTTGCCCGACTCATAGAAGCGCTCTTGGATCCAGAAGACGCCATCGCCCAGAGACTTGTGCGCGAACCACTCGAGCGCAGACATGCTGGGCGGGCGTGTGGGCGCGCGGGCCTCCGCAGCCTGAGAGCGCGGGGGACGTGGGGCGGAGACGGAGGCGGCGCAGAGCCGGCGGCGGGAGGCGCGGCCGGACGCCGCTGGACCGCGCTGCCCGCCGCAGAGCGCGGGAGCCGCTTGGCACCGCGGCGCCTCCAGGCGGGGGCCACTGCGGCACGCCGGAGACACGGCGGCGACACCGTCCCCGCCCCGGGGGTGTGCGTGTTGGGGGGGTGCGGGGCTGACTGCAGAGGCCGGGTGGGGCGCGGCTAGGGGAGCACCAGGCCCACCCAGCCCCGGGGCCCTCCGCGATGCGCGCTCCCGGCCGGCGGGGAGCGAGTCGGGCCGAGCCGGTTGGACGGCGGCTACGGCGCCTGCCAAGGGCTAAAAAGCTCCAGGCCCCGGGGGTGGGGCTTAGCGGGGGCGAGGGGGCGGGCCCGGCTCGGGGCGCTGGGAGCGCGGCGCCGCGGCCGCGTGGAGAGCGGTGCGCGCTTTTGGAACCGGCGGCCGCCGAGCGCTGGAGTCCGGCGCCCGGAGCCTCTGCCTGGCCGGCCGGTCAGTACTCCAACTGCAGTTTTTGCCCAAGCCCGGAGCCTGGAGCGAGCAGGTACCCGAGGAGGCAGTGGAGGGCTTGGGAGGGCGCACAGGGGAGATGGAGGGGTGCGTGGACAAGTCGGGGAGACCCGGCACCTTGCCTCCGGAGTGAGGGGCGGGGGAGGGGGCCTTGCCTCCGCCGCTCCCGCTCGCTTGGAATGTTTTAAAAATCCTCGTTTGCAGCTCCTGCCCGGTCTGCACTTCCTGGCCGCTGGGAGTTTGAAGGGGGGGATTTATGCACTTACTGATGGTGGGTTGGCCGGAGCTGGTGGCTCCGGGACTGACTCGGGCGCTGGGCAGTGCCGCAGGCTCCCCAGGTTCCGTGCCTCGGACCCCGCAGGTGGGGCGGCGCTGCTGACACCGCGCCGCTTCTTTCCGGCTCTTTAAAAATTCTGTGTTCTCCCCCCACCCCCCCGCCGGTTTTTGTTATCCTGCTCTTGGGTGAGAGCAAAGAAAGTTTGTAGAGGGCTCAACTGAGTAAAAGGCGGGGCACCTAGGATAATGACTGGGTGTGGCCCCGCCAGCCCTGGGAGTGGTCCCTGGCCCCACTCCACCCCTGGCCGCCGATAGAGCATCTCCTGTCTAGCCAGGACAGATTGTAGAGAGACCCAGGAGACAGCAGGATGAAAGCCCACGAGGGTCCTTTCGGTGGCAAGTGCTCCCAAGCCCTCCTGGAGGTGCAGGTGGGCCCACGCCCCTCCCCCCGCACTCGTGGAGTGCGCAGCTGGATAGAGGTTGACCACTCAGCTGGGGGCTGGCCTTACACCCAAGTCCTTGAGCTGTGTGAGGAGGAAAGTTGGAGTATCTGGGCCCAGATGCTGGTGATGGAAGGCACGGCCTGTGGACCCCACCCCAGGAGGGGAGAAGTAAATGCTGCACAGTTGGAAGGGGCTGTTGGGAGTGGCGCTGCAGCTGGCCTTGGAAGGTGCTGGTAGGAGCTTAGCAGCCCTGCTCTGTGCCCTCTGGGGCTTTTCCTCCATGCAGGGGCGAAGCTGTAGGGGTGAAATGCAGCAGCACCCTTAGGTAGGAGCTCAGCAGCAATTCACCGCGGAACCACGGGACTTGGTTAGGGATGGGATTTGAGTCTCCAAGGGAGCTTCAGCTTGCTGGTCCCTGTGCCTGGATCCCCAGGTGGCCCTCCCTGGACGGCCTTTCCTCCTCCGGGCAGCTTTTCCCTCCCTTGTGTCCGGTGTGTGCTCCGATATTTCTGAATAAGAGAAGACTTTTGCAGCTACCCGTTGTGCAGTAGCACCCGTGTTTTCTGTTTTATTATTTTTTTCATATCACCTGTCACTCCCTGACATTTTTTTTTTTGACAGGCAGAGTGGACAGTAACAGAGAGAGACAGAGAGAAAGGTCTTCCCTCCGTTGGTTCACCCCCCAATGGCCGCTGGGGCCGTTGCACCGCGCTGATCTGAAGCCAGGAGCCAGGTGCTTCCCCTGGTCTCCCATGCGGGTGCAGGGCCCAAGGACTTGGGCCATCCTCCACTGCACTCCCTGGCCACAGCAGAGAGCTGGACTGGAAGAGGGGCAACTGGGACAGAATCTGGTGCTCCGACCGGGACTAGAACCCGGTGTGCCGGCGCCGCAAGGCGGAGGATTAGCCTATTGTGCTGCGGCGCCGGCAATCCCTGACATTTCTTATAAAATCATATTTTGTGCATATCCCATCTTAGACTATGCACGCCATGAGAACAGGGATCTTGCTTTGTTCACAGCTGAATTCCTACTCCATAAATGAAGGCCAGGTACAGAGGGTACTTTTTAATAAATACCTGATGGGTGGCTCACTGGGGCGCCCCCTGGGAGACCAACAAGTCCTGACAGTTACACCATGATGATTAAAAGGACCACAGGAGCCGGGTTGTACTTGGGAACCAGGAAGAAGGGAGTGGCTTGCCACCCAGTAGGGTGGTGGAAATGGTCCCAGAGAAGCATCAGGTGTATGGCTCAGAAGATGCTAGGGTGTGCTCAGGCCGATGTGGCAGGAGGGACCCTGCAAGCCGGAGCAACCCCGCGTGCAAGAGTGAGGATGCTTTGCTGAGGGGCAGAGCTGGCCTCGGAAGCGCCACTGGCTGAGGAGGGTGACGGGTAGCTGCAGAGGAACTACCAAGGGGCAGTGGACTGTAGAGGTGTATTTGTTCCATATTATTTCTTGTCATTTCATTTGTTCTGCTTTGGAGGTCTGCATGGGAGGTGCCGAGAGTCTGAGCAAAAGCAGAGTTGGAGGCCGGGGAATAGGGGCGAGAGAACACGGAGCTGGTGGGCTTCTGCTGTCGGGTGAGGGGATCGAAGGAGACCTCCAGATGGGGTGACGATCAGGCTCCTACGGGGGCACATTCTGGGCCCTTCATCAGGAGAGAGCTGTGACCTGGCTCTCACTGCCTCCCCCTGCGTCAGCATCTGCTTCCGTCCCTGTGTCTCTACGTCTGTCTGGGTAGTTTGAGCGAGGGGCCGAGTCATGCTGCTGGGATGATGGGCCTGGGAGGGATTTCGGAGATGAGCTCAGCTCTGCCAGAGGTCGCCTTGCACCTGGTGAGAGTGGACTTCTGCATTGCAGCTCTTGGATGGTTCAGCTCCACCCGTCTGCAGCCCTCCTGGGGGTAGTGGCCATTGTCAGGGGGCATGGGCAATGACAGGGCAGTGCTGCAAGTGTTATACTTTTAAATTCAGCCTGTTCGGCACTTAGAAATTCATTCTGTTGATAAGACATCCCCGAGGCTAAAAAGGTATTTTTTTTAAAGATTTATTTATATATTTGAAAATCAGAGTTACACAGAGAGAGAAGGAGAGGCAGAGAGAGAGAGAGGTCTTTCATCTGCTGGTTCACTCCTCATTTGACCATAACGGCCGAGCTGTGCTGATCTGAAGCCAGGAGCCTCTTCTGGGTCTCCCATGTGGGTGCAGGGGTCCAAGGACTTGGGCCATCTTCTACTGCTTCCCAGGCCGTGGCAGAGAGCTGGATCAAAAGAGGAGCAGCCAGGACTGGAACCAGTGCCCATATGAGATGTTGGTGCTGTAGGCAGCAGCTTTACCCGCTAAACCACAGTGCCAGCCCCTGAAAAGGTCTTCTTCACCTAGCCTGTATGTGCAACTCCCGAGAGTTTAATGTAGAAAGAAGAACAATGGAGAGGTTTCTTGAGGCCTTAACCCAGTCTTGCTTTTTTTTTTTTTTTTTTTTTTTTAATATCTATGTATTTGTTTGAGAGACAGAGTTACAGAAAGAGGGGGAGAGACAGACAGGGAACTTTCCATCCGCTGGTTCATTCCCCAAGTGGCTGCAATAGCCAGGGCTGGGCTGGGCTGAAGCCAGGAGCCTGGAACTTCATCCGGGTCTCCCACTGGGGTAGCAGGTGTTGAAGTACTTGGGTCATCTTTCTCCTCTTTGTAGGCACATTAGCAGGGAGCTGGATCCAGAGTGGCGCAGGTGGGACTTGAACTGCTGATATGGGATGCCAGTGGTATTGCAGGCAATGGCTTAACCCACTGTGCCACAGCACAGGCCCCCAGTCCTGCCTTTGTTTGGAACTAACTTTGTGTTTTTTGATAGTCAGCTAACCTCTTAAAACTTCACTTTTCTCTTCTTTGAAATGGGAGTTTTACTCTGCAGTGTTTTTTTTTTTTTTTTTTTTTTTTTTTTTTTTTTTTTGTTTATTTGAGAACTAGAGTTAGAAACAAAGGGAGAGGCAGAGAGAAAGTTGTCTTCCATCTGCTGGTTCACTTCCCATGTGGCCGCAACAGCCAGAGCTGAGCTGAAGCCAGGAGCCAGGAGCTTCTTCTGGGTGTCCCACACAGATACAGGGGCCCACACACTTAGGCCATCTTATATTGCTTTCCCAGGCCATAAGCAGAGATGGATTGGAAGAGGAGCAGCTGGGACACAAACCAGTGGCATCCCTATGGGTTGCCAGTGCCTCAGGCAGAGGCATAGCCTACTACACCATAGCGCCAGCCCCTCTGCAGTGGTTCTTAGTTTGGGTTACACTTTATAATCTTCTGGGATGCTTTGAGAAGTCCTGATGCCTAGCTGCTACCTCCAGATACTCTGGTGTCATTGCTCTGGGGGTGAAAGCTGTGATTCTTTTATTTTTAAAATATGTATTAATTTTCACTTTATTTGAAAGAGAGAGAGAGATGGAGAGATACCTTCCATCCACTGTTGCATTTTCCAGCTGCCTGCAACAACTAGGACTGGGCCAGGCTGAAGTCAGGAGCCTGGAGCTCAGTCTGAGTCTCCCATTTGCTGGCAGGGACCGAGTACTTTAGCCGTCACTTGCTGCCTCCCAGGGTGCCCATTAACAGGAAGCTGGATTGCAAGTGGGGTAGGGACTTGAGGCAGGTACTCTAATGTGGGCTGCAGGCTTCCCATGCCGTGATCTGTTGCACCAAACACCTGCCCCTGAGTGTTTTGTAAAAGCTCTCTTGAGCATTCCAGGGTGAAGCTAAATCCTCTGCTTTATCTCAGGAAGGGAACCAAAGGACCAACAAAAACAACTCTAATAGCAGGCTTACTGGGCTGTACTTCTGTGGGTAGATTTGCTCGCCAGGTCACTATGCGTGGGACAAGGAAAGCTTCACGTTCATCGAGGAGCAGTTGCTGTAGGGATATAAAGTCTCTGCTGTTACTACTTGAAGAAACCAGGCAATAGGAGTCCAGTTCCCTGTTCCCAGAGGGACACCGTCTGTGTTTCTTCTGGAGTTGAAGGTTGCTGCATTCTGTATCTCTCATTTAAACAAACAAAAAAAATCCATTTTAATTTTAGGCTCTTTCCAAGGACAAGATGGGTTGAAGTGACTGGAGATGGAGGGGTTTAAACGGGTGGTTAAGGTGAAACGGGTGGTGGCCGGGCAGGGGCCAGGAGAGAATTGGTCACAGTGGAGAGCCTGGTCATCCAGAAGTGGTTACAGATTGCAACCATTAAAGGGCTTGGCCCGCTTACACAGGAAGTTTGGACCTAATTGGCAGGCAGAAAGGAAGGTGAGAAGAGCTCCACCATCGAAGGTTTGTTTTGGGATTTTTTTTAAAGATTTATTTATTTATTTGAAAGTCAGAGTTACACAGAGAGAGAAGAGGCAGAGAGAAGTCTTCCATCCACTGGTTCACTCCCCAGATGGCCATAATGGCCAGAGCTGAGCCAACCCGAAGCCAGGAGCCAGGAGCTTCTTCTGGGTCTCTCCACGCAGGGCTTGGGCCATCTTCCACTGCTTTCCCAGGCCACAGCAGAGAGCTGGATCGGAAGTGGAGCAGCTGGGACCCAAACCGGCACCAATATTGGATGCCAGCGCTGCAGGCGGCGGCTTTACCCGTCGCCACAGCGCTGGCCCCACGTTTTGGGATTAATAATTGGGAAGAATGGATTAGTCAGGAAAGGGCTGGGAGGCACGAGGTTTGCTGCTGATCAGAAGTGAGATGGGAAAGGGCAAAGCTGGGGGCCGTGGTAGAGAAATTGGAAAGGAAGGTGTGTTTTGAAGGAAACATTAGATGGCTGATTTGTTCCGGGGACTCTGGCTGCTGACCCTGGGCCAGGAATGCTTGATACCTCCCTGGAATTGGGCCGTAGGAAGTAGAGAAAGATTTGGATAAAGAGGAGCTAGAACCAGCTGGTAAAAACCTTCTGTTCCAGAAGGCTGGCGGGGTGAGAAAAGGGTTAGGCCGTGGTTGAATCCACTGAGAGGACTTCAGCAGGAGGCTCAGGCCTCACCTGGAGCCCTTCTGTGAGGCTGTGGCCGGAGTCCCAGGATCACCTCTGAGCTCCGCAGGAGAAGATGAACGGGCCAGCTGCTCCAGGCACAGGGAACTGCCTCAGGGTGACCCGACTTAGAAGAGAGGCGGCTGTGGACCAGGATGCCACGTAATTCTTAAGGGTGTTTCAAGAGCAAGGGCTGGGTTTTCTGCCAAGGGCAGAGCCTTTGCGAATCAGAGCAGTTTGCATGGAGAGATTGCTTGATGAATGTGAACCTCACTTCTCACCGGGCAGCCCATCCAGCAGTGCCAGCTGATAGATTCTCTCTTGGTCAGGGGGAGTTTTTGCAAAAGGTTTCCCAGGATGCTGTGCCTACCCTCCGGAGGCTGGTGCTGTAGGCTTGAGGGCCAGTCCTCCAGCAGTTCTTGTGGGCAGGCAGTGCTGGTGCACCTCACCTGGAGCTGTTCTTAGCCTGGATTGGCAAATCCCAGGGGCCCTGGCTGTGTTGCTGGGCTCCTGAGGGAAGGTGTGAGCCCTTCTGCCCTGTTGGCTTCCGAGGGAGTCCTCTCTGTGCAGGCTCAGCAGATGCCTCAGTGACTCAGCAGTTGCAACAAAGCCCTTTGGATGGTTTCCCTCTCCTTTGGTGTGCGCAGATGGCAGGAGCTTGATTATTTTAATAAATACCTTTCCTGTGCAAGCATTGTTTGAAGGTGGGCGAGGGAAATTGAGCCCTGGGAAAATTCCAGTTAATAAGACAGAGTGATCAGGTTTGTGTGTGGCTCCTGTATAGTCTGTGATGGGCTGATGAATCTAGGCAGCAGTGCTCAGTGGCTGCTGAAGTCCTCAGGGAAAACTCACAGGCACCTTAGGCTGGGAGACACAGACACACTGGAACCCGCGGGCCGGCCTGATCCCACCAAGAGACCTGTGTGCATCTGGCGGTGGTACGGCGGGGAAGAGCAGAGCGTCTCTTCTAAGTGTTCTTTCCAGGAAAGCAAGCCCTCCTCTGGGGAAGCCTCCCGTCCCCCCTGATTGGAAATAGAGTGAACAGAGGAATGTATTAAGCCATTGTCTCATTAGGGATGCACTCAGAGGCACAATGTGGGAAACTGTACAGCCCTGCTACTCTGAAAGCTGAGAGCTTGAGGGGAAGGCCCCAAGGTCAGCTGATTGAGAAACTGCATTTAAAAAAAAAAAAATTTGTGTATTTATTCATTTGAAAGGTAGAGCTTCAGAGCCAGAGGAGAGACAGAGTGAGTAGGAGAGAGATCTTCCATACACTAGTTCACTCCCCAAATGGCTCCAATGGCCAGGGCTATGCCAGGCCACTTTCCCAGGTGCATTAGCAGAGAGCTGGATGGGAAGTGGAGTAGCCAGGACTCGAACCAGTGCCCATGTGGGATGCCAACGCTATTTACCATGGCTTAACCTGCTGTGCCACAGCGCCGGCCCCAGAATCTGCATTTTAACAAGATTCCTAGGTAACCTGTTTGTGCTTTAAAAAGTTTAAGAAGCAGGGTACACGACCATGAGCTAGTTTCTGTGATAAATAGTAACAACAACCAAAAAAAAAAAAAGAAGAGGAACTAACTGTAAAGGCATTTACTTGCTAACTAAAGAAATTTAAGTACTGGTTGTGTATGATAGTGAATTGTGGCTTTTTTTTTTTAAGATTTATTGAAAAGCAGAGTTAGAGATACTTTCCATCTGCTGATTTACTCCCCAAATGGCTTCAATGGCTGGGGCTTGTCCAGGCTGAAGCAGGGAGCCAGGAGTTTCATCCATGGGCAGCAGGGGCCCCCACATATTTGGGTCATCTTCTATTGCCTCCCCAGGCACATTAGCAGAAAGCTGGATTGGAAGTGGAGCAGCTGGGACTTGAACCAACACTCACTGGGATGCAGGTGTTGCAGCTGATAGCTTAACCCGCTGCACCACACCACCAGCCCTCGTGATTAGCATTTTAGAGACATTGTCACTGTGGTTTATTTTAAAGCCTTTTTCAGAGAAGATACCTACTGCACAGTTAAAATAATCTGAGCCCTGGATGTGGAATACAGAGAAAGACGCGTCATCTGGTGACGGTTGACAAGCTGAATGTGGGGTACCTGGGGTGGTCTTGCTGTTCTTTCTACCACAGTATGTGTAAGTAGTATAGTGAAAGTAAGTACAAGTGACAGAAGGCAGTCAGATGTCCTCTGTAAACTGACCACACTAAAGGTAACAGTAGGGGCTGGCACTATGGTGTAGGTTAAGCCTCCGCCTGTATTACCGGCATCGCATAGGGGTGCTTGTCTGAGTCCCAGCTGCTGATGGCCTGAGAAAGCAGCAGAAGATGGCCCAAGTGCTTGGGACCCTGCACCCATGTGGAAGACCCAGAGGAAGCTCCTGCTCCTGGCTTCAGATCGGCCCAGTTCCAGCCATTGCAGCCATTTGGGGAGTGAACCAAAGGATAGAAAATTCTCTCTTTCTGTCTCTATATCTCTTCCTTTAAAATAAAATAAGTATTTTTAAAAATAGATAATAAGTAAAATCAACTTTTAAAGTTCTATCAGGAAGCCTTCAAATCTGGAGGCATGTAAGGATGACTTTACAGAATGTGCCATGTAAAATGGTATCTGAAAATGTGTTCAGGATCATAGCCATCTAACCAAGTCCAGCAGCATCCTCCTGGGAAGCAGTGTTTCATGCCTGGAAGATCTAGATTCTCTGGTTGGATTCCAGGGCTGGAGCTGGAGCCCTGAGTGTCTGAGGGCATTAAAATCACCCCTGTCGCACCTTTCATTCTACTGCACCGTGTAGAGGAATGGAAAGCTGGGACTGTCACATCCCAAGTGCTCCCTGGATTTACAGCTGTCACAGTCATTTCTCCTTTAAGAGGAATTCCATTAAACATCGAGGGTAACTGGTATAATTTCAGACTTCCACGATGAGAGCTGTGCTTCTGCAGGTGTATCTTCACCCAGCTACTACTGAGAAGCAAAGACTTCGGCTGGAGTGGTTCCCCCAATGCTCTTGACACTCACTCTGTATTGCCGTCACCTGGAAGTGTTTCAGTCTACTCTTGCTCATGTCTCACCCCAAGAGATCTAGATGGGTTTGGTTCTGTGATTTAGACTTCCACGCATGTGAGAATTACCTGGAAGGTTCCTGAAAACACAGGTTGCTGGTGACATGCCCAGAGGTTGTTTTTCCTTGCATTTATAAAAAAATTCCAGGTGAGGCTGTTACAGACAGTGCTTTTTGAAAACAGCTGCTTTAGGGTTTTGTTGTTTTTTTTTTTTGGGGGGGGGGGGTGTTTTGTTTGTTTTTTTTTCATTTTATCTGAAAAGCAGAGAGGGTGGGGGTGGGGGTGAGGGGTGGTTCTTCCATATGCTGATTCACCTCCCAAATGGCCACAAGAGCCGAGGCTGGGCCAAGCTGAAGCCCAGAGCCAGGAACTTCTTTTGTGACTCCCACATGAGTGGCAGGGACCCAAGTACTTGAGCCATCACCTGCTGCCCCCCAGCTGGGTTTGAAGCACAGCAGCCAGGCACTCTGGTATGGGGTGCAGGCGTCCCACACTGGGGCTTGATTCTTTAAAGGTTCTCATGACCCCAGACGATGAGAATAGTCAGCCCTGTCGAAAAGGAAGCTGGGATTTCCCAGGCCTTTGGACCAAACTGTATTCAAATTGCAGATAGTCAAAAAGATGTGCAGAAGTAGCCCCTCGGTGGTCTTAGCAGGTAGTCCTTCACCCTGAAGGTGGCAAACTTCAGTGGAAATGTGTTCAGGACCCTTGTGTCTTGGTAAGAAACTGCGCAGCAGCTGTGTGAGGTGTTGTGCAAGTAAGTGCCTGAGCTGGGCGGCTGCGGCCGGAGCCGCTTGTCTGTCTGCCTGTGCAGCGTGCAGGTGCAGAAGCTCGTTCCCCTGGGCTCCCTGGGTTCAGTCTTAGCCTGTCCTCAGCGGGAAGAGATGTGAAGACCGTGCACGCTACTCACCACCACCATGATTGAGAGCAGAGTTCTCCAGCCTGCAGGTTCCTGTTACTGCACTGCAGGTTCACGTCTACCTGGAGCTTGGGGAAAGTCATGGAAAAACAGAATGAAAAGAGCAGCTTGTTTTGGTGCCAGAAGTGTTTGAAAGCTGTGCACGTGAGGGGAGGGGCGTCTGCAAAAAGTTGATGAGAAATGTATATTTTGAAAAAAACTATGCGTGGATTTCTACATTTTGCTACACCAGAGTAAAGATGTGTTTTAAGGACCTTTCAGTGGATTTCCAATGTACTTTCGTATCCTAGTGTAATCTTGATTTGGAGGATTTGGGAGTTCAGCAGGAGACCTGAAGTTGAAGGCGGACGAGGTCGGCTTCCCCCTCATTTAGCACTTGCAGCTGTTCCTTGCCAAACCTTCACGCCATCGTCACACATTTACTCCTTTCCAGGTTTTAGTTTTCCAACAGTGTTTTCTCTCAGCCGTGCTCTGTAGCGGCAGAGTTTCATGCTTTGTTTTACAGTGATGGCTTCTTTCTCTTAGGACCCAGCCTGCCTGCATCCCTGGTGGTATCTTTCAGAATTCAGTCTCCTGGCGGCGTAGCCCATCCTGATGGCGGGGAACAAAGGAAGAGGGCGGGCTGCCTACACCTTTAACATCGAGGCTGTGGGCTTCAGCAGAGGTGAGAAGCTGCCTGACGTGGTGCTGAAGCCACCCCCCGTGTTTCCCGTAAGTACGCTGACAGCTGAGTCCCATGTGTTGCTTTATCCTGTTGCTAAGAAAATTGGAATTCTAGATAGGACTTGAATATGTGGTATCATGATGATGTCTGAAAGCATAGGAAAGTAAAAGACAGCTTTTTTTTTTTTTAAGATTTATTTTGTTGCATATGCAGTTACAGGAGAGGTCTTGCATCCACTGGCTCATTCCCCAAATTTCACTTACCTTTAATTTAAATATTTCCACCATTCTTCCCTGGACATTTTCTGATGTTCAGGCCACTTTCTTAAAACAGAAAACAAAAACTGTATACACCTTTCCTTGAAAACACATAGAATATATCAACCAAGAATGAATTTTTGTTTTTAATTTGAAAGGGAGAGAGAGAGGGAGAGAGGGAGAGCTCTCTTCCATACACTAGTTCAATCCCCATATGGCCGCAATGGCCTGGGTTGGGCCAGCCCAAAGCCAGGACCCGGGAGTTTCTTCCAGATCTCGCACACAGGGGCCCAAGCACATGGGCCATTCTCCACTGCTTTCCCAGTTGCATTAGCAGGGAATTGAATCAGAAGTGGAGCAGCCAGGACTCAAACCGGCGCCCAAACCGATGCCTTTCTGACATCTCCGTAATTTTTGCTCCCGCTGCCCCTCTCTGTTCCCAGCTGCGCTGCCTCCTGGTTCCCTCAGGCCTTTGCCCCTGTTGCCGCCCAGTCTGGGGCCGTCTGTTCTCCAGTCTGTGCATGGATGGCTTCCTGATCTTATCTAGGCCTCTGCTTCAGTGTGACTTGGGCTTACATGCTTACCCTGCAGAGACGGGCCAGCTCTGACCGTGACTCTATCAGTTGCTATTATAGCCAACTTCATTTCACTGATCCTTAAAAATGTAAAGCCACATTGACTGATAAGTAATCATTCTGTTATGTGAATACTCGTTAGGAAAGAATCATTGCAGAGTGTACTTCAGCATATTTTGTTTTTAAGGATTTTTTTTGTTTGTTTGTTTGAAAGACATAGTGGCAGAGAGAGAGGGAGAAACAGAGAGAGAGAGATCTTCCACCTGCTGGTTTACTCCCAAGTGGCTGCAATGCTCGTAGCTGAGCCAAAGCCAGCTGCCAGGAACTCCTACCTGGGTGGCAAGGTCCAGGCACCTGAGCCATCATCTGCTGCTTTCCAAGGTGCATTAGCAGGCAGCTGGATTAGAAGTGGAGCAGCTGGGGCTTGTGCTCCAGTGTCCTAAGTGGCAGTTTATATGCTGTGCCACAATGCCAGGCCCATTTCAGTCCTTTTAAAATTAATTTTTCCTCTAGATTATGGGGCAGAGTTACTTAATCGAACATGGCTGTTATTAAAACACATACCCAATCTGAAAAAGAAAGTCACATCATTAAAGCCTTTGTGTGATCCTTTAGGGACTTTAAGAACGTATTTTGTTGGCCTTGGGAGTGGTACACTTGTACCTGGATCAAGGAGGCTCTTTAAGTAATGATGCCATGACATATTCAGAAATATGAGCGATCATTTGCCTCTGTTTCTTTCAGGAGAGAATGCTTGCATGCGATTTTCCAGTCAATTTTTCAGATTGATAGAAATAAAGTTGTTTACTTGTTGCTACCGGAAATTTTGTGTCACCTCACTGGCTACCTTTTTGCTGTGTGTTTCTTCAGTAGAAACTGAGTTTCATGGGGACAGGGATGTGGATGAGTTTGCTGTGGGACCTCCTTTGTGTAGGTCATGTTTGGCTTACTGTAGACGCTCAGTAGATAGCCATCAAGTCAGTGAATACGTTATGGGTTTAAATGTGCCCCATCCTTATCCTCTGAAACCAGGAATGTCTTTACCCTGTATCCTGATACAAAAAAGTGTATACCCACTTTTTACTGAATATATAAATATATAAAGATATACACATGCGCATATGTGTGTATAATTTGAAAACACTAAAGTGTAGCTTCCAACTTCTGCTCTGGTATCTACTCTTTATATGGGCTTACTGCTCCTTCTCCTCTCAATGTCTTTACCATAAAAGATAAAATACTGGTGATAGTGTTGATAATGGATGTTGACTACTTAGTTCTTCCTGGCCTGAGTAATCTCTTGCTAAATGATAGCTGCTGTTATCATTATATTTTTGTGCTATTGCTCCTGCCAGTCACCACTGCTAGTTGAGGTTGATAGTAACTAAAGCAGTTGTTCTCATTTGGGTGCTTTGATTTTTATTTTTTAATTAATTAATTTTTAAAATTTTCTTTGTAAGGCAGAGTAGCAGAGAGAAAGTGAAACAGAGAGAGAGAGAGAGAGATTGACAGTGTGATTCCATCTGTTGGTTCACGCTTCAAATACCTGCAACAACCAGAGCTGGGCTAGGTCAAAGCCAAGAGCCAGGAACTCTGTCAGGGTCTTCGTGGGTGCAGGAACCCACGTATTTGGGACATCATCTGCTGCCTCCCAGGTTCATTACCAGGAAGTGAAGTGGAGGTGGGAGTGTATCCACACACTCCGACCTAGCATGAGAGGGCCAAAGGGGGGGCTTAACCTGCTGTACCCTGTGCCGGCCCCAGGTGCCTTGTGTTTTGCAATGTGAGGTCACATTCATCAGCAGACTACACAGCAGAACGAGTGTTGGTCTCTTTCCCACCTCGAAAAGAAGGGCAAGATGGGAAGTGGGCTGAAAGGTTAAGGTAGATCAGAGTGGGTCAGCACCTTGTGAATTGATCGTAGAGCTTAGTGCCCAGTAAAACATGGTTTTTCAGTAAAACTGGTATTTTCTAGAAAATAAACAACATAGGGCATTAAAACATTCTTTGTCTCGTAATAGGATACAGATTATAAGCCAGTGCCACTGAAAACAGGGGAAGGTGAAGATTACATGCTGGCCTTGAAACAGGAGCTGAGAGAAACAATGAAAAGGATGCCTTATTTCATTGAGCCGCCCGAAGAGAAGCAAGGTGTGTATTGGACTCTGATCATGTGGATTTAATGTAAATACATGGACCAGTGGGTAAGCACAGGATGTGTTCTTCTTTCATGCTCACTCAGTTTATTCAGAATTTAACAACTACCCTGAAAAAACCGTGTTTATGAGGCTTAACAGAAGAAAAATAAGGATTTTGGGTTTTTTAAGATTTATTTATTTTATCTGAGAGGCAGAGGTAGAAAGGGAGGGAGAGAGAGAGAAGTCTTCTATCCGCTGGTTCACTCCCCAACCGGCCACAATGGCCAGAGCTGCACCAATCTGGAGCCAGGAGTTTCTTCCAGGTCTCCCATATGGGTACAGGGGCCCAAGACCTTGGGCCATTTTCTACTGCTTTCCCAGGCCATAGCAGAGAGCTGGATTGGAAGTGAAGGAGCGAGGACTCAAACTGGTTCTTGTGTGGGTTGCCTGCACTGCAGGAGGTAGCTTTATCTGCTATGCCACAGTGCTGCTCCCAGGTTTTTTGATATTTTAAAAAATATCTTTCACAGTAGAAGTGATACATGATTAGTGAAAATTATGAAAAACACATGGCTGGCGCCGCAGCTCAATAGGCTAATCCTCCACCTGCGGTGCCGGCACACCAGGTTCTAGTCCCGGTCGGGGTGCCAGATTCTGTCCTGGTTGCCCCTCTTCCAGGCCAGCTCTCTGCTGTGGCCAGGGAGTGCAGTGGAGGATGGCCCAAGTCCTTCGGCCCTGCACCCGCATAGGAGACCAGGAGAAACACCTGGCTCCTGGCTTCAGATCAACGCGATGCGCCGGCCGCAGCGGCCATTGGAGGGTGAACCAACGGAAAAGGAAGACCTTTCTCTCTGTCTCTCTCTCTCTCACTGTCCACTCTGCCTGTCCAAAAAAAAAAAGAAAATTATGAAAAACAAAAATTTCCAATTTCCACGTGTAAAAATTACCCATGGCTGTGTCTACAGAACTACTAGTAAGCTTTTAGTGAATAGTGTGCATACTTTTTTCTGTATATATTTAATGAATTGGATTCATATGACTTCATATCTTAATTTTTGTATTCAGTAGCACATTATTAGTATTTTCACATATCCTCATTATTCTTGAAAAATGTGAGTTTAATGATTGTGTATTAGCTGTTGTCAGGCTATATATAATATTATTAATCAACTGATTCCCTGTTATTAGATTTAGGTTTTTTTTGTTTATATATATAATGCTGTGATTGCTGTCATTATTGTAAATGCCTACATGTCTCCCATTACTTAATATTTAAGTTACAAACTTTAAAAATCCTTAGGTTTGTTTAGTCATGGGTATATCTGCTATGATGGAAAATATAAAATAAAATAATGTGCTCACTGCTGAAGCTAAGAGCAGAGAGGAGGCCTCTGGCTGGAGAAGGCACAGCAACCTCCAGCAGGAAGTGGGAAGTGGCTTTAGAGGCAGGGAAGCCCCTTCTGAGCAGTTGCATTGATCTTCAGCATCTGCCCTTGATTGAAATTGGAGATCAATATCATCTTAGGCTGCTCAAAACAACATCATTAAAACAGGAGAAATTCATCAAGGATCATCTCATTGCATTAGTATTAAAAATGCATTCCATTTTCCCTCTCTCTAAAAGACTTAAAAGTGGCTCACCGCCAAGCAGGAAGTCATGTACTTGGGATTGTAAAAAGCATTTTCGACAAGCTCATTGAATTTTCAATACGCTTGAAGTTATATAATGGTTTGATGCGAGAGAGTTTGCTTCAAAGTACTGTGTGTTTACTTTGATGATTATTGTCTGTTTCACCTCTTTGAGTTGAAAAATTGGAATTAAAACTTTCATTTTTTTCTCTGACTCTGCCTTTCAAGTCAATAAAAAAAATCTTCGTAGCAAAAGCTTTCATTTCATAAACTGAACAAAGTATTGTTACGGGTGAAATGGCAGTGGAGAAAATGTTACCTCGGTTCTTTGTCTCACATGGAGGAAGAATTTCCAAGCGGACCAGGCAGAGAGAAAGCATTTACAAGGAGTTAAAAGCAAGATTTGTTAGAGTCAGAGACCTCCGGCCAGAGTGGCCTGCTAGGGCTCCATGAGGGGCAGAATCCTAAGGGGCTGGTGCTACTGGGGCTTTTAAGCCCCGTTTTGGAGAAGAAGCTGTCAATCAGTGTAAGGCAGGGACAAAACCCATCAAAAGACCTGATCTGTAATCTTTTTACCCTGTCTCGATTGCTCATGATAAAACAAAAGAGCTGTCCCAAGAGTAGGATACCTAATTTACTTTATAGTAAATTGAGAGCTCAGAAGAATGGAATCACCTGTCCCTAGCTGTTCTCATGGTAAGATTGGAAATTGCTAAGGAGTATCAGGCAGGCTCTTTTAATCTTGCTAAAAGTAACTTTGGGGGGAAGCATTCTGCACCCTGAATTTCTACCGGGACCACCCTGACTACTTGTTAACCCGTCTGACCCCTCACAGTATGACCAAATAAATGCTTGTTCTGTTTAAAATACTCAGTACAAAGTATACTTCAGTCTTTTTTTTTAAAAAATTATTTATTTATTTGCAAAGCAGAGTTAGAGAGAGATAGTCGGAAAGAGGTCTTCCATCTGCTGGTTGACTCCCCAAATGGCCACAATGGCTAGAGCTGGGCAGATCAGAAGCCAGGAGCCAGGGTCTTCTTCTGAGTCTCCCACGTGGGTGCAGGGACCCAAGGACTTGGGCCATCTTCCACCGCTTTCCCAGAAGCCTTAGCAAGGAGCTGGATCAGAAGTGGAGCACCTGGGACTTGAACTGGCACCCATATGGGATGTGAGCACTGAAGGCAGCAGCCTAACCAGCCACACCATAGTGCTGACTGCAACCCGTCAGTCTTTTTACAAGTAGTCTTTTCTCTCGATCGGGGATAGATTTGCGTAACTGAATGTGGTGGTTTTAAAAGTTTTAAAAGTCTAATGTAAAAGTATGTCGAATCCTCCAAGTGCTTGTGTGAATCTGTTAGGGACATTGGGAGCATGCTTCGGAACACCAAGAAACAATTTTCTTCATATATCATGTGGATCCAATTTGTTTTTATGTTTGTAAATATTTTAAAGTTACTTTTAGGGCATTTGCAGAAGAATAACGAGATACTAAAAAACTCACTGTAGGAATCTAATTTTAAAAGAGCAAAAAAAGTGGTGAGTGGGCAGCAAAGGATTTTTCTAAAGATGACACACCAGTTGAAAGCCCGTGGTCAGATGCTCAGTGTCACCAGGTCGTTATCAGGGAAACTGGAATCAGAGCCACACCGAGAACAGGTGTCTGGCCTGGTGGTTAGAACACTGCCGGGGGCACTTGCATCCCACACTGGATTGCGTGGGTTCCAGTCCCAAGTCCGCTCCTGACTCCAGCTTTCTGCTAAATGCACCCAGGGAGGCAGCAGGTGATAGCTCAGGGGGTTGGGTCCTTGCTTCCCGTGTGGGAGACCCAGATGGAGTTCTTGGTTCCTGGCTTTGGACATACCCTGCCCCGGCTGTTGTGGGCAGTTGAGGAATGCGCCAATGGTTGGGGAGTTCTCATGCTTTCTCAAACAAATAAAATAATTTTTTTAAAGAAAAACAGAAAGCTGCAGTAAGACATTACTTCACTCTACTAGCATAGCCAGAACCAGAAGACAGTAACAAGTATTGGCAGGGATGTGGAGACACTGGAGCCCCATACATTGCTGATGGGAGTGTAACACATTACAGCCACTTTGGAGAGCAGTCTGGCAGTACTAGAACATAAATGCAGGGTCACCTATGATCCAAGGTGTACATCCAATAGAAAAAGGAAACAAATGCCCACAGAGCACATGCAGGGACACTCAGAGCTGCTCTGTTCCTCAAAAGGGAGCTGACCCCAGTGTCCATCAGCTGAGGAATGGGTAAAGAGGAGTGCTGCATCCATATGGTGGAGTATTACTCAGCCATAAAGAGGAGTGGGGCACTGGCATTGACCATGCCACGGCTTAACCCTGAAGACATTATGCTGAGTCAAAGAAGCCAGTCGGAAGGACACGTATTCTGTGATTCCATTTATAAGAAACGTCCAGAGCAGGTTAATCCCTAGAGACAGAGAAAGCTGGTTAGTGGTTGCCAGGGGCTGGGGCAGGGGAGGGGAAGGAGTGACATCTAAAGGGCGGGAGTTTCTTTCCAGGATAAGGAACAGGTTATAAAAATTATACAGCAGTGTTGGCTGCACAACTCCATAAAGTACTGAATTGTACATTTTAATTCTGTATACATGGATTACATCTCAATAAAGCTGTTCTCTAAAAAAGAAAGGAAGAAAAACTTGGACATTTTACTAAGAAATTTAGTTTCACAAATCCTAATTTATTGTTTATTTTGGACTGATTTTGAAGGTGAACTTACCCAAAATGGGCATGGCTTTTGAATGCAGCTAACTGTGCATCAGTTGTCATACGAAAATCTAAAATACATGTATTTAGTACGTCTTGGCTCCAGATTTCAAATAATGTTTAACTGATTCTAACTTATCATTACTTCTGGTCTTTTTTCTCCCACTTGTGTCAACTAGTTCATTCTAATTACAAATGCATTTCTAATTGGATCCAGCTTGTCCTAGCTCCGAGTTCTTGTACTTGTATAAGCAAAATGCAGCACTTGGAAAACTGATAATTCACACTTCTTTTGAGGAGTAAAACAGTGGATGGAAGATTCTCTCTCTCTTTCTCTCTCTCTCTCTCTCTATATATATATATTTATACCCCCTCCCCCACCCTCTGCCTCTCCCTCTGTTAACTCTTTCAAATAAATAAAAAAAAATTAAAAAATATATTTAGGAGCTGACGCTGTGGTGTAGCAGGTAAAGCCACCGCCTGCAGTGCCAGCATTCCATAGGTGCTGGATTGAGTCCGGCTGTTCCACTTCCGAACCAGCTCTCTGCTATGGCCTGGGAAAGCAGTGGAAGATGGCGCAAGTGCTTGTGCCCCTGTATCCATGTGGGAGACCTGGAAGAAGCTCCTAGCTCCTAGCTTCAGATTTGCTCAGCTCCAGCTATTGTGGCCATTTGGGGAGTCTCTCCTTCTCTCTGTCTACAACTCTACCATTCAGATAAATAAATAAATATTTAAAAAATATATATATATATTTAGAAATATGGAAAAATCATGCATTGGACCTAGATGATTAATGAGAAAAATTGTTCCCTGGTATTCTGAAGGATACTTTTTTTCAAATTATGGAATCTGTTTTGGAGAGAATTATTTATTTATTTATTTTTGGACAGATAGAGTTAGACAGAAAGAGACAGAGAGAAAGGTCTTCCTTCTGTTGGTTCACCCCCCAAGTGGCCGCTACGGCTGGAGCTACGCCTGTCTGAAGCCAGGAGCCAGGTGATTCCTCCTGGTCTCCCATGTGGGTGCAGGGGCCCAAGCACCTGGGCCATCCTCTTCTGCCTTCCCGGGCCACAGCAGAGAGCTGGACTGGAAGAGGAGCAACCGGGACTAGAACCTGGCGCCCATATGGGATGCCGGCGCTGTAGGCTGAGGATTAACCAAGTGAGCCATGGTGGCGGCTCTGGAGAAAATTTTTAAAAAGTCATTGTAATGCAGTCGCTGGGTATTGCATTTGTGCTGACCTCATTTTACAGCTGGGAAAGGTGAGGGCAAGAAGACTTCAATATTGCCCTGCAGCAAAACCATTGACTACCTAGAAGAGCACCGCCTCCTGGTGTCTGACTCGCTGTCAGTTCTGGGTCTCTTTCTCCCAGTCCTTGGTCTTGGCGCTATTTGAAAGCATTTTCTTGGCGCGGAGGAAAAGCCAGAACCATTTGGTCCATGGTTTCCACGTGTTTGTCTTTGCATTACCTTCCCTTTCCGTAGCTTAACTTGGAGGCCACCTGCGATGCTGAGCGGTGGGTTCAGACTCCCATGAGGCAGTGCTGCCTGCAGGTCTCTGCTGCCGGGCAGGGGCTGGGCCCCCGTCAGGACTTCCTCGTGGCAAGCTGGAGCTATCAGAAGCGAGGGCCGTGACGAGTTCTGTGACTCTGGTCCCTGCATAGCTTTCACTTGCAGGTGGGGAGGCCCAGCAGCTACCTGGTTATGCCTGGGACAGACGAGCCCTCAGCGACTTCAGCCTGGCCTGCTCCTGCCTTCTACCCAGGCCTCCTCCCCAGTGGGCTGTAACAAGTAGCACAGTGAGGAGCCTCACGGAATGATGATGTGTGTGTGTATGTGTGTGTGTGTGTGTGGCTGTGAGAAGTAGCACAGTGAGGAGCCTCATGGAATGATGGTGTGTGTGTGTGTGTGTGTGTGTGTGTGGCTGTGAGAAGTAGCACAGTGAGGAGCCTCACGGAATGATGATGTGTGTGTGTATGTGTGTGTGTGTGTGTGGCTGTGAGAAGTAGCACAGTGAGGAGCCTCACGGAATGATGATGTGTGTGTGTATGTGTGTGTGTGTGTGTGGCTGTGAGAAGTAGCACAGTGAGGAGCCTCATGGAATGATGGGGTGTGTGTGTGTGTGTGTGTGTGTGTGGCTGTGAGAAGTAGCACAGTGAGGAGCCTCACGGAATGATGATGTGTGTGTGTATGTGTGTGTGTGTGTGTGGCTGTGAGAAGTAGCACAGTGAGGAGCCTCATGGAATGATGGTGTGTGTGTGTGTGTGTGTGTGTGCAGTGCCGCAGGTGCACAAACATCCCAGGAACACCAGGTTTAAAGATGGGCAGCTGCAGGTGTCACAGGAGTACAGTGGGGGATGCTGAGTAGGCCTTGCTGGCCTTCTGTGCAAGTGGCCTCCTCACCAGTTTGTGTCCTCTCTGTTCTGCCTCTGATCCAGCTCCCTGCTGATGGGCCTGGGGAGGCAGAGGGAGACGCTCAAATGCTTGGGCCCTTGCAAACCACATAGGAGACCCAGAACAAGCTCCTGGCTCCTGAATCCAACCTGGGCCAGCCCTGGCTCTTGCAGCCATTTGAGGAGTGAGCCAGTGGCTGGAAGTGCACTCTCTGCCTTTGAAATAAATAAATAGGTCTTTTAAAGGAAACACACACTTACACACCCCTGTGTAGCCTTGTGACCTTACTGTGGGCTCTGGTGCAGACAAGTGGACTTCAGAAAGTCCATGAAGAAATAGAACTGAAAGACGTGTATTTTGGTGCCATTTTTTTAATTCTTGCATTTTTTTTTCATAATAATGAATTGTTTGATTGCTGAGTCAGGTGTCTGATTCCAGGAACGTCTGTGCCCTCCCTGAGCCTGTCGGTCCCAGTGCTTCCTGCCACCTGGCTGAGTGTTCCAAGAACACTTTATGGACAAACGTTGGGAACTCCTCGTCTGAAATTAATGATGTTGTTTGAAGGAATGGCTCAGTTCAGGCGTATTGGTTTTTCTAATGAATTCCTTGTTCTTTTTTCCTAGACATTGAAAGGTACAGTAAAAGATGTATGAAGGTATACAAAGAAGAGTGGATACCAGGTAATTATAAAACAGATCATGTTAAAAGAACGTCAAAGGCTGTCTCCCTACTCCATGTTTATAAAAGATATTTTCTGTTATCGTCATAGCCAAACTGACTGCTTTTCCTATAGTTAATTACTAATGTAAGTCTTTTGGAAACCAGATGAAAAGTTTTTTTTTTTTTGACAGGCAGAGTGGACAGTGAGAGAGAGAGACAGAGAGAAAGGTCTTCCTTTTGCCATTGGCTCACCCTCCAATGGCCGCCACGGCTGGCGCGCTGCGGCCAGCGCACCGTGCTGATCCAAAGCCAGGAGTCAGGTGCTTCTCCTGGTCTCCCATGGGGTGCAGGGCCCAAGCACTTGGGCCATCCTCCACTGCCCTCCCTGGCCACAGCAGAGAGCTGGCCTGGAAGAGGGGCAACCGGGACAGAATCCGGCGCCCTGACCGGGACTAGAACCCTGGGTGCCGGCGCTGCAAGGTGGAGGATTAGCCTATTGAGCCGCGGCGCTGACCCAGATGAAAAGATTTTTAAGTTGTAAGGAGGCAGAGTTGAAGCATATTTGGAGAAGCACTCAAAATACGTTTTTAATAAAAATCCGACTTACGACACCTGTTTGGGTTTTCCAGCTCTGTTAGCCCCAATCGCAGCTGAATGTAAGGGTGCTACAGAGCTCCGCGTCTGTGCACCTCTGTGACCTCAGGGCTCGTCCGGAGAAAACACAACGTCTCCTGTTGAGACTATTTGAAGCGAAGCTCACGGATCTTCCTTCCTTTTAAACTGCCACAGACTATCTTTAGTTGTTAAGGTGCCTTTCCATACAGTCGTGCCTAGAAAGCTCTGTTTCCGACATTCAGGTTTTACCTGGAGAAGTCAGCTTCCGGTGTGGCATTTAAGCCGCTGCTCGGGACGCTCACATCCTGTGTCAGAGTGCCTGGGTTCAGTTCTCGGCTCCGCCTCCGGCCTCCAGCTTCCTAATGCAGACTTACAGAGGCAGCAGTGAGGCTCCAGTGATTGGGTGCCTGCCACCCACGTGGGAGGCCTGGATTACTTTCCCAGCTCCTTGCTTGACCTGTTAGAGGCATCTCAAGGAGTGAACCATCTGGGAGATCTCAATCTTTCTTCCTCTCAGCTTCTGAAATTAAAAAAAGAAAAAATTAAGAAACAAGTTTTACCTTGGATATAGACCAGGTGGAAGGGGTTTCAGCAGAGAGTTCATCCAGCTCACTCATTTGCAAATGAAGTTGCCATAGGAAGCTGTTGCAACTCAGGGCTCCTCATTTTAATTCCGTTTCCTTCCCGGTCTCTGTCACCTGCCCTTAGAGAAACCTGTAACTGGTATTGCCAGCATTGCTGCTCTCACAAGCTCTAGGGCTCTATCTTAAGGTTGGGGTCCCTGGAAACACTCTTTTAGGTCTGTCATCTCCCGAATTATTCTCTGCCTACTTTGTCATGATTTTTTTCTGAGTGTATAGGAACTAAAATATAGTCAGGTAAAATGACTTGTGGTTTAAATATTTTGTACAATGGCACTGAGATTTTTTTACTAATCCATTTTTTAATCCATTGTTTGCTTCCGTTTTGTTTGACTTCATGCTTAAATGTTAAAGGGAAGTGAAAAAACTAAGAGGAATTGTTTAGCTAATATAGGTAAAATCATTTATTGGAAAGAAATTATTTTTACAGGTATTTATATGCTTTAAAGTTGTCAATTTGAATTATTTCATTTTTCATGTGTTAAGGTTATGGTCACATATGTTCTTTGTAAAGCATTGTTTATTACTTAATAAATACATACCAGTAGTTACAGAAAACTTTAAACATACAAACTAGTATAATAATAAGTAAATAATACTTAAGAAAAACAGTTGTAATTGTAACACTTTCAAAGATTTACTGCAAAGTGTTTTTTTTTTTGCTTTATTTCATGCTAAATTTGTACAATCAAATATTCACATATTGTCGTTTTATGGGCAGTTGTCATTGTGTTCTTTAAATAGTTTTGTCCAAGGTCACTGATTCCTAGAGGAAATTCACTTTTTTATATTTTTTCCTTTTGTACACACAGATTGGAGAAGATTTCCAAGAGAGATGATGCCAAGGAAAAAATGCAAAAAAGGTACATTGACAAATATAATAGTAATTCAGGTAGGAAAAGATGATTGCTTTTACGTTCTGTCCCTAGAAATTGTCGGCCCGAAGTTAACGCTCAGTGTGCTGCATCCTTCTACATAGCGTCTTCTGCATTTTGATGACTTCACTGGAGCTTGGTCTTGCTGTTACTGATTGCTTTGTTCAGTTGTTGACCTTTCCATGATTGTGGAATGCAAAAGCACTGGGAAAGATTTCCAATAACCAGACCTTACTCTTCCAACCCTTCTGCTTCCCAATAAGTAAACATTATTGGCATGTTGGAGATTGTAATGATTTTACTGTCTATATTCTCAGTTTCTCACCAAAGCATTTTAAAGTTGGGGAGCTGTTAAATAGAACTGTATGTTCTAAATAAAAATACCAACGTGGCTGTTATATTTTGTTTCTGTTTAGTAATCCCTTCAGGAAACAGTTGAGTATCTGCTATCGCCAGACACTGTACAGAGAGGAGTGTAGCAGTGAGCAGAGTGGGGTTATCCTTGTCCACATGGAGCTTGGACAAAAGCCATGTGGAGTAGAAGGCTGTCCTCGCTGGGAGGTCTGCGAAGAGTTTTTGAGGGAGTGGAGTTGGAGTTGAGACTATAGGGCTGGGAGGAGTTTCCTAAGACAGGTATTAGGAAGGGCGTTGGGGAAAGCAAGGTTTGAGGAAAGATCACAAGTCCAGCGGAGACAGACAAGGCTGAATGTGCTCTTGGATACTGGCGAATTGGCCTCAAATTGGAGATGGTCATTATCAAGAAAGAAGTGATGGTGAAATTGTGATCCCTAACCCGTGATCAGGGAGGAGTTAGATAATCAGAAGAAAGCACCTGAGTTGGAGGAATGCCAGACGTTAGTGGGCAGCTCAGCGGGCCAAGGCAGCAAGGAGAGGAGGTGGAAAGGAGGCGGAGGTGAGCCGGGAGCTGGGAGCTCTGGAAGCTGGGGCAGGTAGGAGGGGAGGTGGTGACCGGCACAGCTGAGGGAGCTGGCAGGGTGAGGCCAGAAGACGTTCTCAAGGCTTTGCCGTGTTGGTCACGGATGACCTCCCAGAGGGCTTTTCAAAAGGCTTGCAGGAGCAGAAGCCAGGTGCGAGTGGATCAGGGAGCTTGGGACACGCATGTGGGTGGTGCGCTTGAGTCTTTAGCGCCTTCTGCAATGAAGAAGGAAGATGCAGAGGGAAGTAGCCAGAGAGGTGCAGGCCAGTGGGCTTGGCCGCTAAGAAACTCCCACTCTCTCTTTTATTGCCTCTATTGAGGTATAATTGATGCGCAATAAAATGCACGTGTTTGAAATGTTCAATTAAGTTTTTACATATGTTAAATTTAAGGTGGAAGCATTTTTGTTTTTTGGACATATAGTATACATATTCAGTTTGATTACACAATATCATACTTTGAGATCTGCGGTTTGTTCTTTATTCCCTTGGTTTTTATTGGGCAAAGACGTTGTTTCCATAACAAAGTACATATGCGTGAACCACACTGGTCATGTCCAGCATCTCACAAGTCTTTGGCAGATTTTAAAAAGCTGAAAAGAAGGTGTCCATTCTTCCAGAATGAATGTTTTCAAATGCATCCCACAGACTGCTCATCCCTGGAGTGCCGTACAAACATTAATCATCAGCAGAAGCTTCCAGTACGTCCGGGTTGCCCTTTGTTAAAAACAATCAGCGGTGACACTTTGCTTTTCCATTCTTCTCTAATGTTTTTTGTTTCCCATTTTTTGTTTGTTCCTGAGAGGCTTGCACTGTCCCTTTTGTAAGAAGGCCCTCAGTGATTTACATTAAACTCAGCAACAGGAGTCCAAGTTTGTTCTTAAAGAACCAGCTCCTGGCTGAGGTGGGAAAAAAAGACCAAAAAATTCAAATGTATGCATGCATTTCACTAAGGATAGAAGAAAGTCCATGTTAATGTTTTGATGTTTGAAGTCTTTAAGTGGGGCCGATGCTGTGGCCTAGTGGGTAAAGCTGTGGCTTGTGATGCCAGAATCCCATGTAGGTGCAGGTTCGAGTCCTGGCTGCTCCACTTTGGATCAAGTGGCCTGCTGGTGCTCCTGGGAGGGCAGTGGAAGATGGCCCTAGTGCTTTTGCCTCTGTGTCCACATGGGAGACCTGAAGAAGCTCCTGGCTTCAGCCTGGCCCAGTCTTGGCCATTGTGGTCATTTGGGGAGTGAATCAGCAGATGGAAAATCTCTCTTTCTGTCTTCCTCTCTCTCTCTCTCTAACTCTGTGTCTCAAATAAATAAATAAATCTCTAAAAAAAGTCTTTAAGTAATTTTTTAGAGATTTATTTCTTCATTTGAAAGTCAGAGTTACACAGAGAGAGGAGAGACAGAGAGAGAGAGAAAGAGAGAGAGAGAGAGGTCTTCCATCCGATGGTTCACTCCCCAGTTGGCCATAACAGCCACAACACGCCGATCTGAAGCCAGGAGACAGGAGCTTCCTCTGGATCTCCCATGTGGGGGCAGGAGCCAAGGACCTAGGCCCTCTTCCACTGCTTTCTCAGGCCATAGCAGAAAGCTGGATCGGAAGCAGAGCAGCTGGGACCAGAACTGGTGCCCATATGGGATGCTGCCGGCGCCTCAGGCCAGGGTGTCAACCTGCTGCCCCACAGCGCCAGCCCCCTTTAAGTAATTTTGATACATACAAAGATGAGGTAATAGGTAAAATCAAAGTGATAATTTGCACAGAATGAACAGTGAACTTGAGTCTGCAACTGCAACTAGCCTTTTTTTTTTTTTTTTTTAAGATTATTTGAAAGGCAGAGTTAGAGAGACAGAGACAGTGAGAGAAAGAGATCTACCTGCTGGTTCACTCCCCTAATGGCCAAAATGGCCAGGGCTGGGCCAGCTGCAGCCAGGAGCCTGGAACTCCATCTGCGTCTCCTACATGGGTACAGGTGCCCAAGCACTTAGGTCATCTGCTGCTGCTTTCCCCGGCACATTAGCAAGGACCTGGATCAGAAGTGGAGCAGCTGGGACTTGAACTGGCACTCATATGGGATGCAGGTGTCACAGATGGTGCTACAATGCTAGCCCAGTTGACCATTTTGGCTAAGAAAGTAGTAATCTCTAATAAGTTTATTTATTTCATCATATGCTGTAATATTCATTTAATAGACTTATAGGGCGATTAAATACTTTTATTAAAAAAGATTTTGTGATTTGATTAATTAATACTCAGCTATTTTTTTGGCATCAGTATAATGATATTTGTTGAGCTCTTACTATATATGAGGTTACATATTTTTTAAAATTTTTTGAGAGAAATATAGGTATCTCTCAACTGCTGGTTTACTCTCTGAATGCCTGCAACAGTGAGGGCTGGGCCAGGCTGAAACTCAGGGCCAGGAACACAATCCAAGTTTCTCATACGATTGGCAGGAACTCAGCCACTTGGGCCACCCAGCACCTGCTGCCTCCCAGGGTGCACATCAGCAGGAAGCTGAAATCAGGAGTGGAGGAGACAATGAGCCCAGGCATTCTGATAAGGGTTGTGGATGTCTCCAGTGTCTTTATGGCTACCCAGACACCTGCATTGCAGTGCCATGTATTATGTGCTGTAGTTCGTGATCAAGTCTTGGCTCTCAAGGAGGGAGGTATTGCTGTGGATTGGTTTCTGAGAGGAAGAGTGTGGTGGGGGCAAGAGGCACAGAGTCACCTCATAGACCCTGGGAGTCAGGTGAAAACAGGCCTGAGGCAAGCAGCCTGCAGACTCGTTTATTTCAGTTGCTACAGCTGCTTATATAGCCGAGGCAGCCAATCCGGTCAAGGGGTGGTTTATGCCCTAACCAATCGCACCCTGTTGCCAGGCAGTTTCTGAAGCCATCCAATCACAGACTGTTGCTAGGCAGGCTCCGTTGTCATGTGGTTTCCAAAACCATCCAATCACAGCCTGTTGCCAGGTAGTTTCTGTTGCCAGCGGCCATCTTGGCATGGCCTTCTCATTCCACCACAGGTAGGGAAGGTTACCCATCATTAAATCTACTGTGCCATAGTTGGTAAAGCCGCCACATGTATTGCCGGCATCCCATCTGGGTGCCAGTTAAAGTCTTGGCTACTCCACTTCCGATCCAGGTCTCTGCTATTGCCTGGGAAAGCAGTAGAAGATGGCCCAGGTCCTTGGGCCCCTGCACCTGCATGGGAGACCTGGAAGAATCTCCTGGCTCCTGGCTTTGGATCAGCCTAGCTCCAGCCATTGCAGCCATTTGGGGAGTGAACCAGCGGATAGAAGATCTCTCTCTCTCTCTCTCTCTCTCTCTCTCTCTCTCTGCTTCTGCCTCTGCCTCTCTGTAACTCTGCATTGCAAATAAATAAATATATCTTTAAAAAAAATAAGTCAAACTGTTACTGCTGTTTGAGCAAACCTCAGTAATACATATGCTTAGGAGCTCTGAGCTCAATGCCTCCCCAGGGCAATTTGGTACAGCACAGTAAATTGTAATTCCATCTGTTAGGGGTCATCCACCACAATCCAAAGATTTCCTCCTCCATGGGTTAAATGTTAATCTTCAACAAAATTACATCTTTCCGAGCCATAGTTTGCTTTGTTACCACGTAATTCCTAGGTATTTAGTTTGATTTTGATTAAGAACTGTAATACTTCTGATCATGGTGGGACAGTTTCATAGCATATCATAATGCTTTCATAGCTAGCTGGCAGAATCGCTATGGGAAATAAATCTGTTCCCTGCCGTTTCAGAATGGACTCAAAATGCAGCATTTTTGATAAGAATAAAAAACATTATGCATGTGTCAAAACCATTAAAACATTTTACTTCATTTATGAGCTATGACCTTCATGCGATGGGACTGCTCTGTTTATGTATTTTAATCTTCATTTGGTTGGTAGTTTCTTTGAATATAACCTCTTTCTCATCTCTTTCATTGTTGAAAAATGTAATTTATCTTGCACTTTCTTTTTTTTTTTTTTGCCTTCCAAATCTGTTAAGATTGCTTTGGTTAAAAGGCAGGAAACCAGATTTGTGGGAGGTTGATGCTCTTGTGCTTCCAAAATAACATTTTAGCAATTTTGGCCATAGCTGTTTTAATTGTCACTTTAGTGCTGGTAAACATAGCCTTTGGTGTAGCCTTAAAGACTGTCCTATTCAATGGTTATCATTTGTTCATTGAAGAGTTGATGAGGTGTGATTGTTTCATTTTTGGAAGAATTAAGATACTCTGAAAATTATGTAACTGGATGTGACATATCACTATGCTAGATAGCATATGAGAAAGCTAAGAAATATAATACACAGTTTTTGGAAAAAACAAAATGTATGTTAACCAGTCATTTTACTTTCAGCAGGCCCAAAATCCAAAAAGGAGAAAGCTACTGGCCAAGGCACTGCCCTCACTTCTACTGCAGACGTCTTGAAAAAAATTGAGGTGAGGTTTGTGTCTTCCCATGAGAATGAACTAGAAAACATAAAAGGTTGGACCTGCTTTTGCTGTATTACTTTGACCTTCATACCACCCCTTTTTAAAATTTTTTAAAGATTTATTTATTTGAAAGGCAGAGTTACAGAGAGGCAGAGACAGAGAAAAAGGGTGCACCATCCACTGGTTCGCTCCCCAAATGACCACAATGTCCAGAGCGTTTTCTGATTTGAAGTCAGGAGCTTCTTCCTGCCCCCCCCCCTTTTTTTTTGACAGGCAGAGTGGACAGTGAGAGAGAGAGAGACAGAGAGAAAGGTCTTCCTTTGCCGTTGGTTCACCCCTCAATGGCCGCTGCGGCCGGCGCACTGCGCTGATCTGAAGCCAGGAGCCAGGTGCTTGTCCTGGTCTCCCATGGGGTGCAGGGCCCAAGCACTTGGGCCATCCTCCACTGCACTCTGGGGCCACGGCAGAGAGCTGGCCTGGAAGAGGGGCAACTGGGACAGGATCCGGCGCCCCAACTGGAACTAGAACCCAGGGTGCCGGCACCACAGGTGGAGGATTAGCCTATTGAGCCGCGGCGCCGGCCCCCTCTTCCTTTTTAATACCATGGATTTGTCAGATGTGAGCCAAACATGTCAGTTACCAGAAAGATTTAAACTTTGCCTTTCAAATAAACTCAGTGTTTAAAAAAGAAACAAAAAATAAATAAATAAAAGTGATCCCTTATAGCTGCTGCATTGCTGTCCATGGAGAGTCTGCCAGCTTACGCCCACTGTCAATGCCTGTGTCACCTACCACTGGGGACCATGGTGGTGGTGATAATGATTGCAGCTGGTGCCTGCCAAGAACTTCTCATAACATAGGCCACGCTCTTGACCTACCTTATGTCCTTAAGAGTTGGTAATGACAGGACGGGCCCGAGTGTTGTTATTTCTTACAGATGAGGAAGTCAAGGCTTCAAGACTTTAGCTTGCTGGGCCACGTGACTTAGCTGCTTGGTGTCAGAAACTCTTCTTCCCTTCCCCTTCCCCTTCCCCTTCTCCTTCCCCTTCCCTTCCCCTTCCCCTTCCCTTCCCTTTCCCTTCCCCTTCCCCTTCCCCTTCCCCTTCCCCTTCCCCTTCCCCTTCCCTCCCCTCCCCCCTCCCCTCCCCCCTCCCCTCCCCCTTCCCCTCCCCCTTCCCCTTCCCCTTCCATTTATTTACTTATGTGAAAGAGTTAGAGAGAGAGAGAGAGAGAGAAAGAAAGATCTTCCATCCACTGGTTCATTCCCCAGATGGTTCTAACAGCCAGCACTGGGCCAGGCTAAAACCAGGAGCTTTGTCCATGTCTCTCTCATGGGTGCAGGAGCCCAAACACCCGGGCCATTTTCAGCTGCTTTTCCCAGGCCTTTAGCAGGGAGCTCTCATCCGGGATGCTGACCCTGCAGGCAGTGGCTTTCCTGCCACACCACAACACTGGCCCCTGAAATTTTAGATCCAGAAGTCCCCGTGAGTTCGCCTTTTTAATAGAGCAAAATTGTTTCCAGATGATTTTGCTCTCGCTCTTCTCTTCGGCAAAAGTGGTTGCAGATTGTATGACGGTGGAGCACCTGTGGGTGGAGAGGGAGCCGCACGCAGTCAGCTGTCATGAGGAAGGGTGAATGGTCAGGTGTGATACACAATACCTGTGCTTCTCACTGCTGCCCGAGATACAGGAGGCTCCGTATGGCGGCTGTTTAGCATTTAAACAGTTCCCTGGCCAGAATTAACCTGCTTTTAGGCTGTTTTTACACTATTACCCATTTTATTCTTTATTTTTTCTTGAAAATTTATTTATTTATTTGAGAGGCAGAGTTACAGACAGAGAGGAGAGACAGAGAGTGAGGTCTTTCTTCCATCTGCTGGTTCTCTCCCCAGATGGCCACAATGGCCGGAGCTGGGCTAATCTGAAGTCAGGAGCCAGGAGCTTCTTCTGGGTCTCCCATGTGGATGCAGGGGCCCAAGCACTTGGGCCATCTTCCACTGCTTTTGTATGCCATAGCAGCGAGCTGAATCAGGGACTTGAACCAGCACCTATATGGCATGCTGTTGTCTCGGGCTGATCACTAACCTACTACACCACCGTGCTAGCCCCTATTCTTTATCTTTAAAATGAATTTATAAGGTAGTAAGGTTAGAGTTTTGTTTGTTTTTTAAGATTTATTTATTATTTGAAAGGCAGGGTGACAGAGAGAAAGAAGTCTTCCATCTACTGGTTCACTCCCCAAATGACCCAATGGCTAGGGCTGGACCAGGCCAAAACCAAAAGCCTAAAACTCCATCTGGTCTCCTAAATGGGAGGCAGAGGCTCAAGTACTTGGGCCATCTTCTGCTGCTTTCCCACGGGCATTAGTAGGGAGTTGGAGTGTAAATGGAGCAACCAGGACTTGAACCGGTACTCACATGGGATGCCAGTGTCTCAGGCCGCAGCTTAACCTGCTGTGCCACATCGCCAGCCCCAAGGCTCTCTTCTCAGGGAAGAGAAAATGGAAGCTAGTAAGTAAAGGAGCCGAAACCTGTAGCTTACTTCAAAAGGAATGAACTGATGAGACAATGAGTGCAGCTTTGAGATCCATTCCTGAAAGAAAATTGCATAAATAGATTTGTTCACCTATTTAAGTATCTTATGAGTTTGATGTATTTCTATGCATATGTGGTAGAAATAATGATGCCATTATTTGAAGATATTTGCAATGGCAGTTATAAAAATGTGTACATTTGGGCCACATGTAGCACTGAATGAATTCTGTATTTGGAAATCTTTTTGCATAGCTGGCTTGAATAATCTTTATTCTAAATAGAAAATAATAATTTATTGTATGAGTTTTTAGCTGTAGTATGTGCCTTGAATAAGTTAAATAAATATAGCACTACAATTCTGTAACACAATCGGGTGTTGTCCAATTTAGTATGATCTGATTAACAAAAAAAAATTACCATGTACTGTATTAATTGATACTAACGTAGCCATGTGTGTGTCTGTGGATATCTTTTGATAGATGCTTCAAAAGATCTACCAAAATTATTGTGTTTACTTGCAGTTTTTCCAAAGGGATTGCCATTGGAAAAGTTATACGCATTATGTTGTACTAATAACTCATATAAGGCAGTATAAGGGTCAATATCAAGATAAATTAGGTTAAGTCAATTACTTTGGTCTTATTTGCTCTATGAGTGGGTGAGCAGATGGGAAAAGTAGAATTTGTATTTTGATTAGTAGTTGAGCCATTTGATACAATCTTTCTATTTCTTTTGATTTCTTCAAGTTCAGATTTGAATATAGTTTTTTTAGTTTTTTTTTTTTTTAAGATTTATTTATTTATTTGAAAGGCAGAGTTACACAGAGAGAGAAGGAGAGGCAGAGAGAAAGAGGTCCTCCATCTGCTTGGTTCACTCCCCAATTGGCCACAGTGGCTGGAGCTGTGCCCATCTGGAGCCAGGAGCTTCCTCCAGGTCTCCTACTCAGGCGCAGGGGCCACAGCAGAGAGCTGGATCAGAAGTGGAGCAGCTGGGTCTCGAACCATTGCCCGTATGGAATAGTCACCACGGTTGACCACATGGCAAGTTCTGCTCTCTTCCCCACCTGCCAGACAGACTCAGAAGCAGAAATTCCTGAGAATGGGGCGTACATAATGAGAAAAAGGAGAAAGTTATGGGCGTGTGCAACAGGGATAATTTATCCCAGGATAGCCGGACAGCACTAGTTTTAAATGACTTCATTTATAAGCCAAACATAGGCATTTCTTTCTCCTTTTATAAGGGGTCCTTAAAGATATCATGGAAAATGTGTATTATGAAAAAAGTTTGGATTTTGAACCAAAATAAGCTCCTTGTATGTTAGACGGAAAGCAAAAGAACATTCTGAATGCCTTTCTCCTTCTAAGTCGAGGACGTGGGATAGAAATGATAGAAATGAGCACTGTGTGTTAGAGCTGATAATCCCAGCATCACCTGAGACCCAGTGAAGGAACAGAGTCAAAGAAACACCCGTGGCTCCCGTGGTAGTCAGGTAGGGCTGGACCCAGGTGATTGGTGGCTGTCCTCTGTGGGCTGGGCAGGGAGGTCAGAGCCCAGTGGTTTGCACAGAAATCAATGCAACTCACTTAATGCAACTCACCTGCACAGGAACTGGAGAAGAGAGGCGATGGTGAGAAATCAGATGAGGAAAACGAAGAGAGAGAAGGCAGCAAAGAGAAGGGTAAAGATGGCGACGATGAGGACGACGAAGAAGCTGCGGAGCAGGAGGAGTACGACGAAGAAGAGCAGGAGGAGGTGAGGGCTGTTTGGGACGGGGATGGGCTGCCAGGCTCCAAGGCTGTCCGGTCGGGACTCGGACACACGGTGTGTCGTTAGAGCCGGCAGCAGGAGTACAGCTGATGGTCGGGACTTGGACACACGGTGTGTCGTTAGAGCCGGCAGCAGGAGTACAGCTGATGGTCGGGACTTGGACACACGGTGTGTCGTTAGAGCCGGCAGCAGGAGTACAGCTGATGGTCGGGACTTGGACACACGGTGTGTCGTTAGAGCCGGCAGCAGTACAGCTGATGGTCAGGACTCGGACACACGGTGTGTTGTTAGAGCTGGCAGCGGGTGGCCTGGTCATTGGTGTTCATGCCCTGGTGGCAAGGGGACGATGATGCATTGAAACCGTGACGACGCCAGGGTGAACGCAGGATGGAACAGGAGCGTGGCAGTAGAAGTCCTCACGTCAAGGAAGCTGCCCCCAACAAGTGCAATTCGGATTTGTCAGGGTGCAATTCCAAGTCAGCCGTCCAGGTGCCGGAGGCTTGGCCGTGCAGGGCCTCCTGGCTCACATGCCAAAGTGCAGGTGCACCTGTCAGAGGTCAAGGACGGCCCCTCCTCCGGCGTCTGGCTGTGCCAGGACGGGGTGCTGTGTGTTTCGGATGCCCTTCTTTTGCAAATGTGGTGTGTCTCAAAATAAGCAAGAGTGTGACCAAGATAACAGGCATTTTTGAGGAGGGGAACTGAGTTGGCCCCAGCCTGTGGGGTCTTTGTGGAGGGCTCACAGGGTCCCTCCAGGCTGGTGGCCTCTTGGCTGTTCCGATCACCCGTGCATCCCCTCCATTTCAGCTGCTCCACCCGCCCGTGGAGTCTTTCCTAGCTACTTTGCATTACATTTTGTATTCTTTCCAGAGTTAGAGTGATATAAATGTAGAGGCGTGTTACCATCTTATCTGTTTCCAAATAGCTAACCTCCTTTGTTCAGCAGTTTGCTTTCCTCCTAGACTTGAAGCCCTCCTTTGTGCCTGTGTCTGTTAGATGCCTTTCTGGACCCTTCTTTCATCCCGGTCTTTCTGAACCATCGTTGAGCCGTTCGATGACAGAGGCGTCTGATTGCGTACGTGGAGGGCATGTCTTCCCTGGCGCCCTTCCTCTTCCGCCTTTTCCCTCCAATGTTTTAAAATGAGACGGGCCGCCTTGCCCGCAGCTGCCTCTGCAGGTTGCTTGCTTTCTGATTCCCACTACCCCGACGTGATAGTGACTGTCTTTCCTTCCCCTCTTTCGCCTTCGCTGGCTCCTTGCTCGGTTTCCTTATGCAGGGAGGCTGCACCCTGGCGCGCCCTGCAGAACCTCTCTCTCGGCACTGCCCCATCTCCCATCCTCCCAGCACATACTGCGGACCAACGCAAACCTGCCTCGGTTTCCCTCTCTGCTCTTTCTTCCCTTGTGTGCATCTCTGGGCAATCACAGAAGTTGGTGCCGGCAGATAAAACACCAGCCAGCCCCTTGTCCCTTTCTCGTGTTGAGTCCACACTCTCCAGCAGTTACCTTAGGGCATCTTCTCTCGTCTCACTCCCTCTTCACTCCCTTCACTGTCACTCTTGGCAGGTGCCAGCACCCCCATCAGAAAGCACAGCCGTCGCGAACTGCCCTCACCTGGCGTCCTCTGCCTCCGTGGCCACCCCTCCTCCTGGCGCCTCCCCCACCCCTCCCAGATCTCCCCCACCCCCTCGATGCCTCCCCCTCCCCCTCCCCTCTCACCCCTCCCAGCATCTCCCCCACCCCCACCACCAATCTTTGTTTTCAGCTGAAGATATCGGCCTCACCCTCTCCATACTCTACTCATCTCCATTCACAAATGAAGACATGTTTGTCTCCCATTGTGAGATTATCTTCCATTGCAAGTGGGACAGTGTCCTCAATGTTTGTCTCTTGGAAACTCTCTTCATGGTTAATACCTGCCTGCTTCCCCCAGCCCCTGCCAGTATTTCGCCCTTTTCAAATTGATTGCCACCTCCTTGCTAGTCAAATGATCACTACTGGCCAGTTTTGGCCCTGACTTTGTTTACTTGGCCTTTGTAAAGCCCTTGACACTTCTGGCAACACTCTTAAAATTTAAATTAAGCCACTTAAGTAGCTACAGGCACTGCATCAGTCAGTGTTCGGTTGCTGTAATGAAATACCCGAGGCTGGCTGATTGGTAAAGAAAAGGGGTTTGTTTATTTAGCTCACAGTGCAGAGAGCCTGGCGCCCCCCCACCCCACCCTTGGCAGATGGCATCATGCTGGGAGGGAGGGCGTGCAGAAGCAAGGGGCACCCAGGGAGACAGGAAGCCGGTGGGGGATGGGGCTCTTGTAGCACCCTATTTTCACGAGAACCAACTCAGGGTCCCCAGAGGAATACTTTAATCCCCTACAAAGGCAGTGCCTGTGCATTGCTTAGCCTTTCCTTACTATAAAAAACTACCCGAGGCAGGCTGCCTTATGAAGAAAAGAGGTTGGTTTCAGCTCCTGGTTCTGGCAGGTCAATTTATATGAGAGAGAGAGAGAGAGGGAAAGACAGAGGGAGCACTCTCTTAAATCTATTATGTAAGATCTCTTATATCTGCCGGTTTATTCTCCCAGTGCCTGCAATAGCTGGAGCGGGCCCAGAGTGAAGCCAAGAGTCAGGAACTCTCTGGGTCTCCCATGTGGGTAGCCAGGACTCGTGGGTCATCTTCCACTGCCTTCTCAGGGGATTTACAGGAAGCTGGATCAGGACTTGAACCTGAACTCTCCTACAGGATGTGGGAGTCCCAAGCAGCAGTTTAACCTGCTGCCGGCCATTGTTCCCACCCTGTGCATGTGTCTTCTACGTCCATTCTCTCTCTCTAAAGCCACCAAGATTCAGTCCTGGGGGCTCCACCCTAACAACCTAAGGCAATCTAAACGCTTCCTAAAGGTCCCACCCTGTGAATGCTATGATTTTTGCCCTGTTAGTGCCATTAACAAAAGACTTTGGGGATTAAATTCCTGCATGAGTTTAGGGCCAAACCATAGCACCCTCACCGACCTCCAGCTGAGCTCCACCCCTCCAGTGTCTCAGACCTCAGCACCACCAAGCGGAGGGCCAAGCCGCCAGCATGTGAACCCTCGGGGGAAATGCCACCTGCACGCCAGCGCAGTCGTCTCCTGTGCTGGGTCCCAAGGCACAGAGCAGCCTGCGTGCTGCACTTCGTTTTTGTGCTGGGATGTTTCTCATTTAACCCCTATTTCCAGTACCTTGCTGTGGTCTCTTCCTCTTTCTGGTCCCAGAGTTCTACCCTGGGGCTTCTGTTGCTGTCTGAAATCCTATTGGTTGCGTCCTGACTGGGAGTTGCCCTCTGTGGACTTAGATCTAGGACTCTCAGTTCTCACTCCACCCAAGTAATTGTGCACTGAGTATATGGTTGCAACTGGGCTGGCTGACTGGACTGTGAAGGTAAGGCACCGTCTTTTCTTCATTTGCCTACTGAGGAAATAAACGAGAAAGGAGGGCCGGCGCCGGGGCTCACTAGGCTAATCCTCTGCCTTGCGGCGCCGGCACACCAGGTTCTAGTCCCGGTCGGGGCGCCGGATTCTGTCCCGGTTGCCCCTCTTCCAGGCCAGCTCTCTGCTGTGGCCCAGGAGTTCAGTGGAGGATGGCCCAAGTGCTTGGGCCCTGCACCCCATGGGAGACCAGGAGAAGTACCTGGCTCCTGCCATCGGATCAGCGCAGCGCGCCGGCTGCGGCAGCCATTGGAGGGTGAACCAATGGCAAAGGAAGACCTTTCTCTCTGTCTCTCTCTCTCACTGTCCACCCTGCCTGTCAAAATAAACAAACAAACAAACAAACGAGAAAGGAGATGGTATAGGGGCTGGTGTTATGGCATGGTGGGCTAAGCCCTGCTTGTGACGTCAGCTTCCCGTATCAGCCTGATGGTTCCTGACCCAGCTGCTCAGCTTGTGATCCAGCTCCCTGCTAATGTGTCTGGGAAAGCAGCAGCAGATGGCCCAAGTATTGGGGCCTCTGCCAGCCACATGGGAGAGAGACCTGGATGGAGTTCCAGACTCCTGCCTTTGGTCTGGACAAGCCTGGCCATTGCAAGCCATATGGGAGTGAAGCAGCAGATGGAAGAACTCCCTTCCTCTTGCTCTCTCTGTCCTTCACTGGTTGTCAAATAATAAATAAATCTTTTATAAAAGGAACAAGAAAAGGAGACAGTGTAATACAGTTCATAACCTTGTGATGTGATAATCCAGGTTGTTATAGTGCATTAAATTCTGTTGTAGGGTTAGCAAAGAAGGTCAAAGAAGAGGTGTACAGAGTTAATCAGGTCAGATGAAGATGAGAAGATGGAGTAGAGGGGACCTGCGGGTAGAGGAGGAAGCCTTGTGGCATCTTTGTGTAATGGGCCAGGACAACCAGTCTGGCTGGAGCAGAGGCTGTGGGTGGGGTGATGAGCGGGGCGTGCACCACTAAGGGCCTGGAACGCTAGGCTGTGGAATCTGGCTTTATCCTGAGTGCACCGAGGAGCCCTTGGAGGGTTTTGAGCCCTGGAGGAGTACTGTCACATGTGCTTGCATTGGAAGGAGCCAAACCAGAGGATCTCAGGCAGGGCGGTTCTGCCCTGCAAGGGACCTTGGGTACCCCTGGGGCAGTTTTGGTTGTCCCAGCTGGCATAGGGAGGGTGCCCTGGGCGGGTAGTGGCCGGAATTCTCTCAACAAGTCACTGGACATTGACTAAGGCCAGGTCTGTGTTGAGATTCAGCTAGCCGCTAACAAGACAACAGGTACTACAGTAGCTTTACAATTCTGTGTTGGGCATTAGCAAAGTAGAGTTTACAAATATATACATTTCATTTACAACAAAACAGAAAAGAACTCTCCACTGGAGAAGCTAAGCACACCCTGGGAGGCCAGGGAGGGGTGGGAAGAGGAGCTCCATCAGGACCTCCCTGGATACAACCTCGTCTGCTCTGTTCAGCAGTTTCTGCACTTAAAATGGTTTGTGATGAATTGACCCGTGTACTGAAGTATCTGTGTAACACCTGCGTGTGAAATCCAGAAAACAAGAGATTTTTTCCTTCTTCACTCTTGTGAATATTGCAGTGGCAAAAAAATGAATAAATAAATAAGGGCTCAAAGGAAAGCCAAGAACCATGTATACAGTCATCAGTTTCAAGAGTTCTGCTAATTGTATTGTGTGGAGATTACTAGCGTCAGTTAACCACCAGGAGGGGACATCTGTGTCTAAAGCACGTGGTGGAGCAGGCGTTTGGCACAGTGGTTAAGATGCAGCATGGGATGCCTACATCCCAGATTCGTGTCCCTGGGTTTGAGACCCAGCTCCACTTTTTTTTTTTTTTTTTACAGAGATTTATTTTATTTATTTGAAAGGCCAAGTTATAGAGACAGAGAGGAAGAGATAGAGCAAGAGAGGTCTTCCATCTGCTGCTTCACCCCCCCCCCCCCCCCAAATGGCCACAACAGCCAGGGCTAGGCCAAGCTGAAGCCAGGAGCCAGGAGCTTCTTCCGGGTCTCCCATGTGGGTGCAGGGTCCCAAGGACTTGGGCCATCTTCTGCTGCTTTCCAAGGCCCATTAGCAGGGAGCTGGATCAGAAGAGGAGCAGCTGGGTCTCAAACTGGTGCCCTTGGGGCTGGGGCTGTGGCATAGTGGGTAAAGCCACCACCTGCAGTGCCAGCATCCCATATGGAGTCAGAGGTACTCCTGTATGGGAGTACATATACATCATTTTATCCATAAATATTTCAGTACGGACTCAGAAAAATCAGGGCCCTTTGATAGCATCACAGTGTTGTCACTGAACTTCATACAATGACATATAAGTTCCTGATACTGTGAAATACCATGGCCAGTGTTAAATTTTGATTGTCACAAAAATGTTTCTCGTTTGTTCCAAGCAAAATGCACACCTGATCAGGGCACCATAGCTGGTGAATCCCTGTTCTTCAACACCCAGTGGACTCCAGGCACTTTGATGGCTGTGGTGTCGCTGAGTCATTGACTAGTGTGAGGATGAGCCCTTTCTCAGCCATGAGTGGGAACGTCCCTGGGGCTGCAGGAACCTGAGAGGCTGTGGAGGGACTGCAGTGTGGCTTCCTCCAGGTCTGGTTTTGTGTCACAGGACTTTTTGGGGGGCGGGGCAGCAGAATTCCCTCTGCTTCTGCTTACTTGTGCTTGGTGGACAGAATCCTCAGTTCTGGCGTACATAAGCCAGTGAGTGTTAATGTACACTGTTATTATTATTATTATTTAAGATTTATTTATTTGAAAGGCAGAGTTACAGAGACAGAGGAGAGAGAGAGATCTTCCATCCGCAGGCTCACTCCCAGATGGCTGCAACGGCTGGCACTGGGCCAGGCTGAAGCCAGGAGCCTGGAACTGCATCCGGGTCTCCCACATGGGTGGCAGGGGCCCAAGCACTTGAGCCACCTTCTGCTGCTTTCCCAGGCACTTTAGCAGGAAGCCAGATAGGAAGTGGAGCTGTCGAGACTCCAACAGGCACTCCTACGGGAAGCTGTCTTCGCAGGCAGTGGCTTAACCTGCTGTACCACAGTGTTGGCCCGTTAGTTTGTTTCTGGAGAGTCTGTGCATTCAGTGTGTAGAAAGTGGTTACTTGTTTCACAGACTAAACCATGTGGCATCCCATGGTCCATGGATATTCCGGGATAGCATCTTAGGAGATGAGCCATCCCAAGGAGGGGTAGTGTGTTAGATGCACTGTTGTGTGGAGGGGTTTGAGCCATCTGGAACCACAGGTAGTGTGTTAGGAGGGCCACCCCGTGGAGGGGCACCATCTTAGCCCACGGAGGGGTGGTGGTACTCGTTGGACAGAGGGCTGTAATTTATGGAACGTGCTATCCCATGGAGAGGAGTGTCTGAGAACATGACACCCACACAGAGGAGTGTCTGATGGGGTGGAAATGGGCAGCCCTTCTCGTCCTCCTGGGTGGTGGGTGTCTTAGAATAGGAGGAGGCAGACTTGAGCCGCACAGGTGAGTGTGTGTGGGGGGTGGGGGGGGGTTTTTTTGGCCATGCAGAGTTAGAGAGAGAGAGAAAGAGAGAAAGGTCTTCCTTTTCTGTTGGTTCACCCCCAAAGTGGCCGCTACGGACGGCACACTGTGGCCACTGTGCTGCGCCTATCCGAAGCCAGGAGCCAGGTGCTTCCTCCTGGTCTCCCATGCAGGTGCAGGGCCCAAGCACTTGGGCCATCCTCCACTGCACTCCCTGGCCACAGCAGAGAGCTGGACTGGAAGAGGAGCGACCGGGACAGAATCTGGCGCCCCAACCGGGCCTTGAACCCTGGGTGCCGGCGCCACAGGTGTAGGATTAGCCTAGTGAGCCACGGCACCGGCCTAGAACTGAAGCGTGTTTTAAGCAGACTTGGTTTAAACCTGCCATAGGACCTAAATGTAGCATTTCTTACTTTTAAGGGACAGTCTGCGTTGTATTCTTTAAGTGGAGCGTTACTGCCTGTTCCTTCTACTGCCCACTGAGGACTGCTCCTGTGTTCTTTCACTAGGAAAATGACTACATTAACTCATACTTCGACAATGGAGACGATTTTGGCGTAGACAGCGACGACAACATGGATGAAGCAACCTACTAGCCGTGAAGTTCGTCAGAAAATGTTCTTAGGATGCGGCTTCTCAGCATTCAGACTTGATTTTTTTTTTTTTTTTTTTAATTTCTGATAAGGAGTGAAAGCCTGTTTTACTTTTGTTATCTTTTGGTTAGACAGTTACTAATACTCGTAACCAAAACATTCAGAACCACTTTACTGTAGTAGTAGTTACCGTGTACAAATGAGTCTCTGACACGCCAACATTCCTTCTAGATACCTCTGCCATTCCTATAGGTTTTCTCATGGATTGACTTTTGTTAATGCCTAATGAGTTTTTGCATCTCTTAATCGATGCATCCATACTTGAACAAACCGTTCTTGTTTAACTGCTGATCTTTTGTACAAATATGATTTGTCATAATGGATTTCTATAATCTGCAAATTGATTTAATACAGCACATAGAGCACTTTAAAAAAAACAACAGAAACTTGAAAATAATTTTATTTTCTACTTGTACATGGTATGTTCCATACCACTACATTAATGACAACATTAACCCACCTAAGCTGTAAACATGTATGAACTTCAAAGAGGTTAGAAGTTTTGTGATTGAAAACATCCCCATGGGAAGACAGGCCACTCTGAGCAAGTTTATGGGAGAGAGAATTAAAAGCTTTTTTTGGTGGAAAATATTTTTGAAGTTGTACATACATGAAATTAACCACCCCACTGTAGTAAGTTTAACATCTTCGAATAGTTGGGCTCATGGAGAATGAAAGTGAGACATCTTAGTTTTGTACTTTACCTAAGTATGGAGTACTGGTCGCGCTGCGGAATGCATGTGTATGAACCCTGACGCGCCCGGGCCTCTCGGGTCCCATCACCACACAGAATGAACTCAGGTCATTTTCAAATGAACTTGTTTGTGTGACTTCAAAGCTAGCCCCAACCCCAGCCTTTATCTATTTTGAGGGAGCACACCCCCAAACTGCAGCCTCCAAAGACTCACAGATGCCAAAGATTTTCAAGGGAGCTCGTATTTCAAAGACAATTTATATTACTCACCAAATGCAATCAAACTCTTTTTCCTCCTTTGGGGAGCTATCACCTGTTACCCTCTAACCCAAGAGGCAGAGCCACCTGTGCTGTGAAACTCAGCCTCAAAACTGAGTTTGGCCAAGTTCTGTGCCTTAGTTTCTCTTGTAAATGATGTCATGTAAAAACCGCATACCCATGAACCAAGGTCTACCAAATGCAGAGATGATTGCTCTAAGTTTGGTTGTCACCCTCTGAGACAATTAGAGTTTGGGAAGTAACCAAAAGCATGTTTTCTTCACAAAGATGTATGATAATCTGATTTTCCCATCTTGCATTTGTGGGGAAAACTGGAGCGAATTTGTATCACCTTGTGCCATTTTGCAACACGACTTTCTCAGGACAAAGACCACTTCCAATGGCAGTGCTTCCTTCAGTGATTCAGATGGGTGTGTGAGGCCCCCCCCCCCATCTTATCAGGTTAGTGCTGTGTTGATCCTATGTGAACTCCTTCTTGTGTAAGCAAAATTGTCAAAAATGTTTAAAATAGGCTATTTTTAAAGCAGCCATCTACTTACTGTACATAATGAAAACCCCACATGGGGTTTTCAGTAGTAATGAGATGGTGTTGTCATATGGGAACATTCATTAACACAGGTGTTTCGTCCTGTCACCTTATACCAGAATCAAGTACCAGTTCTGGTTAAATGCTTTATTATCCATCTGCAGGTAACGGCTTCCACCAGGCAAATGCAATGAAGATGAAGGTGTTTCTTTTCCTAGCTTTCAGTTTGCCATCATTTTCGTCCTGTGTACAGTAGGGCAGCCAGGGCCATCCACTCCCCCTCTGGAAGCTCTTTTTAGTTTTACAGCATATGAAAGGTGAGAACAGGCATGATTTGCAGGCTGCTTACAGTAAGACTGTGAAGTGATTCCACAGGAAGGCAGACGTCGTTTTGCAGAGACAACCTCTTCCGTGTAAAAACGTATTGTTGGTGTAGTGTCTTTAAAACTGTTACAAGCGGAAGTGTTCGGTTGCCATGATGCTTATTTTTCTGTATTTGTTTACACATTAAATTCTTACAAAACAGAGTTGTGGCCTCTTGTTTTACATCAAGATGTTTTGAACTCACTTAAATGTATTATTTAGTAGGGAAAACTAATTTAATACGGATCTTACCCAGTAACTATATGTATGTATTTGAGCAGAGATGCCTGAATCAGGTGTTCTTGCACCACCCACCACCACAAACAAGAAAACCCTGCAGCTAGGGGACTAGGTGTGCTAGCATACTGAGACTTGGCAGGCAGTGCAGTACTTGCATCATCACTCGTGTCCTGGACCAACATACTGATATGGATACCAAAGAATACTAAAGGCGGATGCAACCTCTCACCCTCTCTTCCCTCTCCACTTCACATGTACAGTCCCAGTGGTTTTAATAATGTCTAGATTTCACTAATAACAACTTCAGTTTTTGTAAAAAGAAATTTAAAAAGATACTTTTTAAAGTGGGAGGAAAACAGATCACACCACAGATCCTTCCATTAAATAAGTAAATATTCCAAAGACTTTCTCAATTCCTCTATGTAAAATTAATATTCTTGAAGTAGAAGCGTTTTTGTGTTATAAGAAGTGAAAATTTATTTACCAAGCACTTTATGTAACTGTGATCCACAACCCCATAGCAAGTTGTAGATCCTGCCTCACGCCAGTTCTTCCCTGAGAAAAATCTCCCAAAGAATCTGCATCTGAGATGTTTTATTCCATCTCAGTTACGTGCTGCAGATCGTCCAGTGGCTTTTGTTTCTGTCACGGGTGGCAAGTCTGAACTGGCAGACCTTTGCTTTTTTATTTTTTTTGGACAGGCAGAGTGGACAGTGAGAGAGAGAGAGACAGGGAGAAAAGTCTTCCTTTGCCGTTGGTTCACCCTCCAATGGCCGCCGCGGCCGGTGCACCGCGCCGATCCGATGGCAGGAGACAGGTGCTTCTCCTGGTCTCCCATGGGGTGCAGGGCCCAAGCACCTGGGCCATCCTCCACTGCCTTCCTGGGCCACAGCAGAGAGCTGGCCTGGAAGAGGGGCAACCGGGACAGAATCCGGCGCCCCGACCGGGACTAGAACCTGGTGTGCCGGCGCCGCAAGGCAGAGGATTAGCCTAGTGAGCCGCGGCCCCGGCCAACCTTTGCTTTCTTACACAGTATCTCTCTATCGAGATGAGGTTTTCTTTATTCAATTAAATTCACCAGCTTCCATTTTAGATTGGATAATAAAATAAACTTTATTACATTGTGTAGATTTTTTAAAATATGAAAAATATGAGGCAAAAAGTTTTAAAAACCAGTTTTACAGATGTACATGCTAACAATGTTATATTTTGCATTTGTGTAAAATACATTATACGAAAGATTTATATTCTTGCATACATAAAATTAAATAAAGCATTCAGATATTACTATGGTCTAACAGTGCAATATGCACATACTTGGAAGAAAAATACTGATTTCCTGAGCAACATCGTTTCAATTCAGAGTATGAATGATTCTCATCCCAATAACGCACCATTCAAATGGACTTCAAAAAACGTTTTGACCTTTGCCCTGTAATACTTAGACTGGATCCTTGCTGGATATTTCTAAAACTCTGTATCCTTCATATTTCCAACTAGGTAATTTTAGAAGTAGGGACCTTTAAAAAGAACTATTTAGTGCTGGCTCATTGAAAGAACTTTTCGTTCTGGAGTAAGCAGACGGAATCCACAGTCAAAGCATCCTCCAGAAGACAGTTAACATTGCAGTCCTCCAACTTTTAACGTGGCCAGCAGCTTCTGTAACCTATCTTTATACTTTCTAAAGTCGCGAGTCCCCTAATTTTCTAGGGGTGGATGGCAAAAAAATATTGAATTTAAATGGCATCCACTGTTTAAAACACACTTAACCATGTCTACTCAGACTTTAAAAAGGAAATTAAGAATCTCTGCTAAAAATACCAAATTTTTTTCCTGCACTTGCCTCTCAACTTTTTAAAGGAACCAAATGCAGTAACGCACAATGACTGTTGTTAACATTTGCACACACACATATGTAAGGCCTCAAAGTCATTCAAATAAGGGTTTCAACACAATGAAAAATCACAATATCTAACAGTAACTGTGTTTACATAGTTATACAAAGTAGTTTGCATTAGCTATAAATTTAATGTATTACTAATACTTTTTAGAAGTTATTTCTCAACCTATTAAATGCTTAGGGAAAACTACAAAGATAACCTATATATAGAAATATATAAATTCAAATTATAGTCAATTAATTTAAAAATATATAACTCAAACATACAGAAGAAACAAACTGCTTGATTGTGTCCTAAGGATATATATTTCCTTCAAAAAGGATACCCTGCAAGACAGAAATTTTTAATCAAGAAGTACACAGTATATTAATTTAAAAATAACTTACTTTAGAAATCAGACCACCCCATCACAATTTCAAAGTCTAGCTAGCAAAGAGGAACACTGAATTTCTAACTTATCAATTTGATGTAAACAATGTTCTTCAAAGGACATTTAGCCTGTACTGCCCTAATAATCTGCATTTGCTTCCCTGAAACTTGACTTTTCAGCAGGCTCAATAAATATAATGTAAACTGGCCCAAGCTGCCATTGAGCACAAGTTAGAAAGCTCACATTTCTCTTTTCCAAGATGCCCAAGGCACATTAATTAAACAATTTTTAACTAAAAAGGTTGATTACTACATAAATCACTTTGCTGTAATTTCCATATTGAACTCTTTGATAATTTTCCTAAGATACTTTAATACAAAGGTACTTCAAAAAGTTCATGGGAAAATGGAATTAAAAGATGAGTTAATTTTTGGTGGAAAACAAATTCATGCATAGTTTTTTCATAATTGCAATTTCCATTAACTTTTTGAAGGCTTCCAAATATACCAGGGCTTTAAAACTTTTGACTTCCCTGTCCTCTTAAAGATCCTTTTCTTGACAAAGTATGTAAAACTCCATTTAACATATTAAAAAAATTCATGCCATTTTGTCAACATTAGAGTCTTGAGATTTAAAATGACTGATCAGAAAATGAAAACAATTAAAATTACAATAATGCCCAGAAAATGAAGTGGTATTATCTCTCTTAAGGTATATACTTTATTATACACAAAATAGGAAACACAGATTCCACCAAATTCCATTTCTACTGAGTCATTTTGGTTACATTTTGAAACACCTTTAAGAATTAAATGATGGGGTCAGTTATGCAAATACTTCTAGTTCAGCCAAGTGTGACTGATCCACAGCAGACCTCTGGAAAATGGCACTGTCAAGCCCTTGCAACCAACCCACACACTGGTGGCCTCTGTTCTGATGCTGCAGTTCATGAAAAGTCAAAGTTGGACATTTTCTTTTTAAAAAACAGGTACAGGATCAGTACAAGAGTTTGGAGGCATTACTAAAGCAAAAAGCCTCTTCATTCATGTTTCTGGTGAGTGAATCTCAGGCAGGCAATGATATGTCTGACGCTATTAATTTGTGCTTGATGCTGAAGATGACAATCCATTAGTGTAGTCTACGTAATGAATCTGACTGCATCATCTAAGATAATGCCTAAGTCTAAAACTTACATAAAGTAATATAAGGCATTAGATGTACTTAAGGCATGTTACCACATGTAACACAGCAATTTATCACAGTATGTAAGAATTATTTCCTAAATAATGTTAACCTGTACTTGTGTAACTTTTCATCAAAGAACTACAAAGTGCTGTCAAATATCAAAGGCAAATAGAATGATTTTCAGAACAGCAGAGGAGAGGTTAAAGCATGTGTCTGAAAGCAAGCATTCTGTAGGAGATAAAAATTACTCTCTGGTCTTGACCTAGTCCAGTGTTCTAGGGACTAAATGGCAATTTCCTGACTGTGACACACTTTGGGGCTTAACAGTGTTTACTGCAGCTCTTCACCTCTATTACAGAATTCACACATTAGGTTCCCGGTTCTGTTTCTATTTTGTCATCATGGCACAGCTGCTAGACATAGCTGTAAGATGTTTCAAAACTGAGTTAACTGTGCTCATAAATAATTTTAGAACCAAACTTTTTTTTGCAACTAGGTATTTTGATGGCTCACAGTAGTAAATTCTTTAGTTGTGGACTCTGAAGCTATCATTCTGCTTCATAAATGTATAACCTGAAATCAAAAATAATTACTTAAAAAAATAAAATTTAAGCATAACTAGTCTTGAGTAAGAAAAATAACATCTTCCAGGTCAAGGACTCCCCACACACAAACTCATTTCTGCTTTAAGCAATGATACAACAGATGGAGGAACTCATGCTTTCAACATCGACTGCAGCTACTGTGGAACCTTTACACATGATCCAACCATGGCTCACATTTTTCAGAAAGGTGAACACACAGCATCTTCGGCCTCCGTAAATTCTGGTTTCGAAGTGGTCTGAGCAGGACGGACGCCCCACACTCCACAAGCACATGAGCACTTCCACTGCATCAGGAGCTACTGCTAGGTTTTGCGCTCAACAGCAGGTGGCTGAGAATCCTGACTGTAGAGTTTGTGATCATCCTGTTGGCCCAAGTGTAGTCCTTTAGTTGGAGCCAGTCTATTTTGCATTTCTCTCTGCTGTGATGGGGGTGTGATTCCTGAGTCCAAATGTGAAGAGTCCACTGTTGAATGGTGACTAACATCCACCTTAGCTAAAATTTCGTAATAGAGCAAATAAAAGACCGGCGTTATTATACCTACTATCAACATGATCACGACAGCTGTCCACCACCCTATTCCCCAGTCTGCTCCATAGTAAGGATCCTTGCGCTGAGAGCTTTTAGTGTCAGGTTCAAAACGTATCTGTTGGGCCGTCAAGGCAGACACCACCTCATTGAGGTTCTCTCTCTTGGTGTCTGTACACTTGACGATTTGTTCAATGTCTCTGTCCACTTCTTTTAAAAAGCTGCCAGCTGACTCGGTGGAAGACAGGGAGTCGTTGGCCGGCACGATGTCCTCCTGCTCTGGCGCACAGTGCACAGGTGAGGGGCGTGACGCCTGCCTGCCTTTTGCAGGGTAAAG